AATCCCGCAAACGCGTGCAAATCCTGATTTCTGGTACTTTAGGGTAATTTGAGTCGTTTTGCAAACGATGCATTTTTGACCATGTTTGAAGGAAAATGAGTTCAATCGCTCTCACGCCCATTCTGTCTGTTTGAATTTACCAATGAAGCAGCAGGGCTTACAACCCAGGACTGAACCGCTATTATGGATTCATGGTTTCCTTTTGGGGCAATCACGATGTTTCTCCAAAGATCGCCTTGTTTTCATTTTATGACTTCTAATCGCTGCGTTTTTCTATGAAACGCCTCATTACCTTAAACGCCTAGAAATTTCCATGCAATGGAAGCTTGAGGTATACATACAAGTCTATCATATTTACAAAGATGCGCTTTCCGAAATCGGGCGGCTGTTTCTGGCTGCTTGAGTTTGCAAAGTTCGCTTCGTGTATTACCGCGAGACCCAAACAATTATTCCAAAAGAATCCAACAGATATGTTCTTGGCCACTTAATCACAGCTAGGAGTCTAGAAGTCAGGATTTTTTTTTGTGGTGCTGGAATATTTTAGGCGTAATTCTGCTACCAAACAACGGCAATCTCCACCGTTTCGATCCCCTCGCTTTCGTTCTTGATCAATGAAAACATCCTTGGCAAATGCTTTTGCATTAGTCAATAGTCTGTCTTTAACAAATCCAAACATTTCACTTCTGACGGTCAATGTTTACAGCTGGTGGAAATTCTTTTCGTCCCGATGCGCCACCCAGACAGGCGGAACCACCTACGAAATTGCCCCCCAAGACAAAGGAGAGCAAGGAATGTCCAACTTGGAAACCCCACCCAGAGAATTCCAACCCGGAAATTCCACCCAAGAACGACGACTAAGAAGCTAAGAAGGTCCACTTAGGACATTCCACCCAAAAAAAGAGTAAAGGAACCAGAAAACTCTACTATAGGAATAAAACGCCATGTAGGACCAACAACCCTTCTCAAAACCAGAAACTTCCACCCAGGAAACTCCAGCCAACAAATCTAACCAGGAAAGTGCACCTAGAAGTTTTACCCCAGGAAGAAGAAAAGCAAGGAATTACCCACCCAGGAAATTTCACCTATATAACAAATTATTCTGCAGGACAAAGGAAAGCAAGGAATTGCCAGCCAGGAAACTGCAAGGAACTTCCAGCCAGGAAACTCCACCTATATAACTAACTTGCACCCAAACAGGAGGAAAGCAAGGAACTTCCAGTCACGAAACTCCACCCAGATAAGTCTTGCTGAGGAAGAAAGATTCCGGCAATTTCTAGCCATGTAACTCCACATCCGCCATGTTTTCACTAGGTCGACGCCAAGCTGCCAGGATGCCCCACCCAGAAAATTCCACCTAGGATTTGGTTCCCAAAACAAAGAAAAGGAAAGAATTGCCAGCCAGGATGTCCCACCCAGGAAACTCCACCTACGAAATTTTTCTGCAGAAAGAGGGAAGCCAGCAAATCCCTTAAATTCCAAGAAAGGAATTCTGGGAAGGAGAACCGCAAGGAACTTCCATCCACGAAACTCCACCTAAGTAACCTGCACTCCAGCGACAGGAAAGCAAAGAATTTCCACCCACGAAACTCCACCCAGGTGAGTCTGGGCGATGAAGAAAGACGCCAGAAATTTCTAGCCAGGTAATTCCACCTATCGGAAAATTTTCACCAGGACGACGCCAAGCTGCCAGGATGTCCCACCCAGGAAACTCCACCTTGGATTTGGTTCCCAACACAAAGAAAAGGAAAGAATTGCCAGCCAGGATGCCCCACCCAGAAACTCCACCTAGGAAATTTCTCTGCAGAAAGAGGGAAGCCAGCAAATCCCTTAAATCCAAAAAGGGAATTCCAAGAAGGAGCAGGAGCACTGCAAGGAACTTCCACCCAGGAAACTCCACCTAAGTAACTTGCAACCAGACAACGGGAAACTAAGGAATTTCCACTCACAAAACTCCACCCAGGTAAGTCTTGCTGAGGAAGAAAAACTCCAGCACTTTCTAGCCAGGTAAGTCCACCTAGGCTATTTTTCCCCAAGACAAAGGAAAGCAAGGAATTGCCAGCCAGGATACCCCACCCAAGAAACTCCACCTAGGAAATTTCTCTGCAGAAAGAGGCAAGCCAGCAAATCCCTTAAATTCCAAAAAGGGAATTCCAAGAAGGAGCAGGAGCGCTGCAAGGAACTTCCACCCAGGAAACTCCACCTAATTAACTTGCAATCAGACAACGGGAAACTAAGGAATTTCCACTCACAAAACTCCACCCAGGTAAGTCTGGCTGAGGAAGAAAGATTCCAGTAATTTCTAGCCAGGTAAGTTTACCTAGGCAATTTTTCCCCAACACAAAGAAAAGGAAAAAATTGCCAGCCAGGATACCCCACCCAGAAACTCCACCTAGGAAATTGCTCTGCAGAAAGAGGCAAGCCAGCAAATCCCTTAAATTCCAAAAAGGGAATTCCAAGAAGGAGCAAGAGCACTGCAAGGAACTTCCGCCCAGGAAACTCCACCTAAGTAACTTGCAACCAGACAACGGGAAACTAAGGAATTTCCACTCACAAAACTCCACCCAGGTAAGTCTTGCTGAGGAAGAAAGATTCCAGCAATTTCTAGCCAGGTAAGTCCACCTAGGCAATTTTTCCCCAACACAAAGAAAAGGAAAGAATTGCCAGCCAGGATACCCCACCCAGAAACTCCACCTAGGAAATTTCTCTGCAGAAAGAGGGAAGCCAGCAAATCCCTTAAATTCCAAAAAGGGAATTCCAAGAAGGAGCAGGAGCACTGCAAGGAACTTCCACCCAGGAAACTCCACCTAAGTAACTTGCAACCAGACAACGGGAAACTAAGGAATTTCCACTCACAAAACTCCACCCAGGTAAGTCTTGCTGAGGAAGAAAGATTCCAGCACTTTCTAGCCAGGTAAGTCCACCTAGGCAATTTTTCCCCAAGACAAAGGAAAGCAAGGAATTGCCAGCCAGGATACCCCACCCAAGAAACTCCACCTAGGAAATTTCTCTGCAGAAAGGGGGAAGCCAGCAAATCCCTTAAATTCCAAAAAGGGAATTCCAAGAAGGAGCAGGAGCACTGCAAGGAACTTCCACCCAGGAAACTCCACCTAATTAACTTGCAATCAGACAACGGGAAACTAAGGAATTTCCACTCACAAAACTCCACCCAGGTAAGTCTGGCTGAGGAAGAAAAATTCCAGCACTTTCTAGCCAGGTAAGTTCACCTAGGCAATTTTTCCCCAAGACAAAGGAAAGCAAGGAATTGCCAGCCAGGATACCCCACCCAAGAAATCCCACCTAGGTTTTTTTTCCGCAGAAAGAGGGAAACAAGCAACTTCCACCACCACCCGCGAAATTCCACGTATGGAATTCATCTAGGCATTCCACCCAAGAAGCAAGGAACTTCCACCCAGGAACTCCACCTAGGACATTTCTTGCAAGAAAGAGAGAAGCAAGCAATTTCTAGCCACGCGCTTCCACCCAGTTCGAATTTTTAATGAAAGGAACTTCCACCAAAGCCAAAATCGTATAGTACAGTACAACCTCAATACCATAAAAGACAGACTATTGACTAATGCGAAAGCATTTGCCAAGGATGTTTTCATTGATCAAGAACGAAAGCGAGGGGATCGAAACGGTGGACATTTGCCATTTGCACCAGGTACTGAACTGGTGGAGCGGTCGCCGGTAGCTCCTTTTTCCGTATATTTAAATAGTTAACTTCCGTATATTTAAGATGGTTGGCCGGGCCAGGGAAAACCTGCCCGGAGGTAGTATAAAATACCTATTGCATTGTTTATATATCCGTATATTTAAATGTAGGTACCGTATGTTAAAGATCTATTTTGGGGTTGCCATGGTTGGCGCCCAGTGACCCAGTGCTGCTCTTCCAACCGTGGCTGTTTCAGCTTCATTGTCTCATCTCCGGCCGCCGAAACGCCGACGCCAGGCGGGCCATGAAGCGTAGCCAACGTTCACCATTCGGGGGAGAGAAACATCTCCAATTATGGTACAGTAAATTTTACTCAGCTATGGATCAATAATGATCAATACATCATAATACATCATCGCAAATTTTGGGGGGATGAACATCCACAAATACCAGCTATTTCGATGTTTTTTTTTCCCAGGGGCACCAGGTTTTGACCCACTGCCAGTTGTGGGGCCAGGCTCATTGGGCATTCTTTACAGGTTTTGGCTTGGAAGAGCTGCTAGATTGGGAAAGCCAACAACAAACCATCCCCCAGTCATCACCATAAATAGGTGGTATAAACCATCCCCAAAATACTAGGTTTATCATTGGGTTTCCCACATTATGATTCATAGAATACCTCTAACATCCTCTAATATAAACCATGTGTAATAGCCAATCTTGGATTTACTACACATGGTTTATTGAAGTTTATTGAGGTTCTTGTTGAGATGGAACTTCCACCTGGTAAATAGGAAGTGATTTTGTTGGAATATGATGAAGACGAAAGGAACAACCGGTCTCGGCATTCCTGTAATGACAAGCGTATGGGGGGAGAATGGAGGACCACAAAGCACACACACAACACTTTCAAATGGAAGATAGGTATTTCGTGATATAGAATGATTCAACATAGACATTCGAGAGAAAAACGATTTGGGTGTGCAAGATCTTCAACTTACCTACAGGAATTGGATAGTTCTGACGAAATGGAGGTCCGAAGCCACGATGATAGTGGGGTCGTGGGTCTGAAAATGATACCCCCAAATTGCCATTGTATGTTCTATCAAAAATGATGATTGGGTTTGTCCACAAATTGCTACCCCCAAAATCCCATGGTCTATCATCATGTCTCCTAAATGGCCATATATCAGGGGCAATTTCCTCATTTTCAGACATACCCAAATGTCAAAAAAAAAATGGTTTTGTATCCCCTTGAATCCAATCAGATATCACCAAATATATTACCAATCATACAGTGGCTGTATACCTTCCCATTGTTGGGTTCACCATGGTTCACGTGCCAGGCATGGCTCCCAAACGGGGCAGCATTGAGGCGGCCTTTGCGGGTAAAGCCAAGGGTGCCAAGAGCAAGAAGGCGCGGGAGCTGCCTGGGCCAGTTTGAGTGTTGGATCATGTTGGATCATTGGAAGTCTCTGAGACAATAACTGGGTGGTGGGTTATAATATATATATGGATAATATACATATATTGTTATTGTTATTAGTACATATATATATATGGATATATATATATATACGGATACATACATATATATAAATATATAATATAGACGGATACATATATATATATATACATACATATATATATACATATTTATATATATATACATACATACGTACGTACGTACGTACATACATACATACATATATATATATATATATATGTGTGGATTATATATACGTATGTATATATATATATGTGTGTATAAATATATATATAAATATATATAAATGCATATATATATATATATATGCATATATATATATATATAAATGCATATATATATATATATCCATCCAATCCATATGTGTACAGACTTGTACTTTTCTAATTGGGCATAGTTGTGACTTTTTGAGAGATTCCAGTTGACTTGATAAGACGTGTGCCATGAGCCAACCGCGCTCGCCGTTCAGACTGGCAGGCTGGCCTTGAACAAAGCACCCCGGAGAGGCACGGGGCCATCCCCTCGGGTCGCTTCATGGGTATGTCATAATGGGATAGGACGTTTTTATCCAAGCAACAATAGGGATTTAGCATGATTTAAGTGATTCAATTAACTAACTACAATGTAATGAGACTAGTGAGATATGTCAAATTCCCAAAACAGCTGAACACCATCATAAACCAACAAACAGCAGTATGACAGTCAAGACCCCAAATGAATATGGCCCATTTTGGTCGATCCTGACCACTTGACCGTTGGCCGTGCGGTCAGTAAGCCGAGCGTTGGTGCTGCCGATGTCACACCATCCCCGGAAATGCCCAAGCTCGGCTCTCAGATCGTGATTGGAACTGATTTGTTGATCATCATTCCATGGTTTGGCATTGCTTTTTTTGCCATGTAGCATTCCATTTAACCACTACAAAATACCAACTTAGAGCCAGCTGCGTGAGAAGTTTCCGAAGTCCAGGCGGAGAAGACTTGAGAAAGCTCCTGAAACAACTCCCACCAAGCCCAAGCATGGTTCTCGGTGGCTGCTGGGTCGGGACGTGGAATATTTTTTGATGGTTTAGGAAGTCATGCGTCCTAGTAATATGACGGTATACCACATTACCATTTTAAAGCAAACTCATGCAGTGAATCGATTAGAGTTTGCAGCTTCGAAAAGACATGTGCACCGTTTGCTTCAACGCTTGATTCAGGGTGCAGAAAGATGTAGAAATGAAAGCGCCGTCGATTTCTCAGATCTGACTTTAGAATCTCTGAATGCTGACCAGCCGTCCAGCCAGTGCTTGTGCACCCTGCGCTCTCCAGATCACACAGCTCATTCTAATTACATGGATTTGTAAAAAAAACACACAGATCCACTGGTGTCATTTTCCCCAAATTAAAATGGCAATTGTCCTTTAAATCCCCCATTTCTAGCCCTTTCTGGCAGGCCAGCCGATGTGAAGATCTCCACATCTCATGGACCAAGTGAAACAGGGCCCTGGTCATTGTGGAGTGGAGCTTCTTCAAAGGGCTCCAAGGTGAGGAAATGGGCTGGGGATGGGAACTTAGCCCACAAGATATGGCAATTTTAATGGGGAAACCATGATATCCATGATCATCTTCGAGTGGATTTTGCAGTGCCCGATTGTCGGACAAACGTCATCAACTATCATCATTAACCATTGCCAACCACCATTAACCGTCGTTAAGTATCCACCATCATCATGTTGAACTTGTTCCCATTTGCCTAACATAGACATGGACCCTGTCAAACAGGGATTGGAAGACTACTTTCCTCTAGAAATTGCTGATTCTCAGGCGGGGTTCATGGGAATGAATCCTGTTTCTTTAGTTTTGGTTTATGGATATGAAGATTACGAACCACGCGTGTGGATATGAGCCAAACATAAACTGTAAAGGGAGACAATTGATTGGATATGAACGGGTATTTCATGTGTTTGCCAACAGCAGCTGGGAGAAAATGATCATCAACATACGCAAAATGTGTGTCTCTAAACTCAAGGATTTGGAACAGCACCGCATGGATACCCTGGGGTAATTTGACATGGCGATGGAAATTCACCATAAGTTACCTACTGACAGATCATTATCATTCATTCGTGATAGGTTTCCCTACGATGGGTCATACATACATATATATATGTGTATATATATATGTATATATATATATATGTATATATATATTTATATGTATGTATGTGTGTGTGTGTAAGTTTGAATAATCCTGAACAGCAAGGTAGTATAACCTAGTATAAGTCCTTATTTCATAGCATCAACAAGGGTATAAGATGGTATAAGTATACATCAATGGCTTATTTGAGTTTCCTGAAATATCACAACCAGCTAGAACAAACCCATGGGCTGGTCCAGGACCTTGCCTCGGCGAGCTTCGATCCACAGCTACTGGAGAGCGAGTCGGGCTGCCATGCTTTGCATGTCTTTATATAATCTATATATATATATAATTATATATATAATTATATGAATCTGTATTTACAGAAATTCTGCATCTTCGTTCTTCTCATGATATTTTGTGTGCAGAGGATTGAGTGCGTCAAACTCCAACTTTGGCCATGGCCGACGACAGGTTTCCCGTTGGAAAGGCCGTGGGCTTCGCGTTGTTGTCCTCCGCTCTGCTGGAGATCGAGGAGCAAAGAGGAAAGGGACAGGGCTCCAGAAAGCGGATGACGGTGAGAAGCCCAGTCATATGGCGAAATGGTGATAAGCCAATGGTTTTTTTTCTCAGACAAACCCATATGATTCTATTGAAGTCTATAAGGATGTGTGGAATATCGTTTGTCCAAAGATGAAGGATTTGCATGGAATGTGCAGGCAAATTTGCAGAGGTCTTACAAGTGTTGGACTTGCTGACATGCCGGGCGCCGGAATCAGGTCGTCCTCAGTAACTTGTTCCGCTTCTTGATCCATGTGCGTCCACAGGTGCAACTCTCAGCGTAGGATGGACTTCGGCATGAAACGAGATTGATTTCACAAGTCAGCAGACCACTTGGGATCCACTTGGGCAGGATCTCATTGCTTCCATTTACATCTTGATCAACAAGGCCAGCTACTGTGATGTCTAGATCACTGATAAACTGTGACATGTTTCCGATTTTTTTCTGTCAGCTGCACCAAGGTGGCACCAGACTATGAGGCTGCTGAACTTGGAGTCGGCGATTCCATCATCATCAAAGCCCTTTGCGAGAATTTTGGCAGGCGAATCGGCTGCCCGTTTGACAAGTCAACCAAACATGTGTGAAAAGGCAGCCCTTTCACGTAATTCGTATCATCACAGGCTTTCATCCAAACCATCCGCTGGATGCCGCTGGATCTTTTCCCGCTCCACTGAGGTCGGAAAGCACCATCAAACACGCGCTGGCCACAGGAGAGGCGAAAGACCTGGGAGAGGTTGCCCTACAGAGCCGCTTGTGTCGGCCTCGGTGGTGGTGTGTAGTTCCCTTTTTTGGGGGGATTGTGTTTTATCGCCAGGAAAATGAATGAAAATGAGTGGTTTGGGGTATTAAAACATGTCAAAACCATTTAAAACATAAAAGGACGACCCAACATTTGTGGGGCTGCTTGGCATTGAATTTTGAGCCAATGCAGATGGTGGCAGTGTGCTGTCCAGAGACCTGGGTCTTTCGTACAGCAAGTTGAAGGTACTTCGCTATGCCGGCTATGCCTATTATGCCTATGTGTGTGTGCATAGGCTCATGAGCAACTTTCGCAGCTTTGAGTTGATCAGATCACATGGTGCAATCCAGCGCAAGCGTCCAGATTTGATTCAAGGGTAAACATAGTGAACCTACCATGATGGACCGCATGCTTTTCAAAGGTTACACACCAATGCACAGTTTTTTCATTTGAGACAGCAAGGTGCCTTTCATAGCAAGTTGCAAAAATCAATCGACAGAGCGATGCAAAGTTGTGAATTCGGATTCTCCAGCATATCCAGCATGGCGCTTGTCTACGATACCCTGTTCTCCCACGAGTACCAAGAGCGTCTACTGGAAAAATCACCACTTCGAAGATGGATTCACAAGATCCGATCCACGGGATTTGGAACGATTTGGCTGTTGCTGCTCATTTGTGGCTTCAGCTCAAGAAAAGCCGTGCATCGTGCTCTCACTCATGGTTCTCAAATGGCCAGGGAAGGTTCCCGAAGTGCACTGCAGCAGATGGGTAAGGCTGTTCGACGTACATTGGCACCTGAGGCCTTAAAGGATGCACAGCGCAGCAAGGCTATGGAAAAAAACTCCAACGATTCTTGGTGCTTTCAGACCTTGTCATTTCAATGTCTATTCCTGTTTAATTTTTTATCCCACAGGAATTGTCTGGTTGATGGTTCAAACATGTTTCAGACATTTTTTTGGCAACCATATTTGGGAGGAGGATCCCCAATGATTCATATATGTTTCAGATGTTTGGTCACTTAGAGATGATCCCGCATGTGACTTTCAGGGTTTTGGGGCACCTGGCAGTCCATGAGGATGTGAATGCCGTGAAATCCGCGGGTTCGCAGCGGAACGACGTCGGGTCTCCTGCCGAGTTCTCTGGTCGGGAGAAGCTCTTTGAATTTTTGTTGAAGCACATGGACACGGTGCTGGTGGGATTTTTGGGCTACAAACTGGTCTTATTGGTGCTCTACACCATGCCGATCACTTATGGCTTTGGAATCAAAACTGCTTTCCTGAAATGGGCCTCTAAGGCTCACCTGTTTAGAATCTGGATTTGATGGTGTTGTTTTTTTTTTCTTTTCCCCCAATATTTACGGCATTTTATTGGGGATGTGTTTTTGGATGTGTTTTGCTATTGGATATATCAGTAAAGCAACAAAAACATACAGAAACAAGGATTGTACTTGAGATCGGCGCCTTTTGCATGTATTGGCATTGTCGCTGCTGCCTCAGCTGCTGCGCACTACGGCAATGCCACGGATGCGATCGGACGAGCAACCATCAGCCGATGGAGGGCACTTGGCTTATTGAATGGCATCCTGACCTACTGCACAGCCAGGCCTTGGCATTTCAAAAAGCCTGGTTTTGCTTGGATCCAGTTGGTTGAAATTGCTTGAATCTAACCAATTGTATCCACTTGATTGCAGTTGTTGATTAGATCATTAGATCTATCCCATGATAGATGTCATTATATATCCCCATAAGACATTAAGATACATTTTCTTAGTATGTTCCCAGTGCAATCATTGCAGCCGAAGGATGTTCGAGCTCATCCGTGGAGATTACAAGCCCTTCATTGCACTAGAAGAGTCGGCCCAGGAGAGAGAGCTCTTGGCCTTTGAGCCACCGGCGAAGGGAACGGCCTGGCAGAAGATGCTTCAGGTTGGAAGTTCTTGGGTGGAAAATACCATGGTGGACCAGTTGGTCCATGGCTTGTCTCATCATATATCGATTTATAGTGGTTTAATGTGGTTTATAGGTACCTAAGAGTTACATAGAGTTACCAACTGGTGCTGGATTTCTGAAAATCCACAGTATTTCATGGGAATTAATGTGATAATATTAGGGACATATTAGCAGCAATATGATATTTGGCTGTGTCTGAAAAGGGCCGATTCACCCGTGATCTATGGCAATTTCATGCTATTTCAATGGCGAAGATGATAAACCAATGGAATTGGGGGGTACCCTGGGTACCCTATCATTCACTACCATGATATTTGATGTCTTCAGCAAGGACTGCTGAGTTGGATGGGTCAGTTTTTCTGTGAATGCAGATCTTCCAGCGCCATGGATCCATTGGATCTTCCTTGGATTTTCATTTCAATGGATTGGTTGAAGGGAAAAAAATCAGGAAAGCCTAATGTTTAATGAGAAAATCGATGGTTTCCTGTAGATTTTCCATGATTTTCCCTTAAACCAATCCATTGATCCTTGGATCAGGCACTTTTTTGGCCCCAGAGAGCCTTCACACCCCCACAGCTCTTTGGTGCCGAAGAACTTGGATCTGAACGGCGACGGCTGCTTTTCGTGGGAAACCATGCCATTCTGGGCATCGATGTCACTCAGCATGCTATTGGCAGTTGGGGAGGTTGCATTGCCAATGATTTTTGCATGTATATATATATTGTTAATTATATACACTGGTGAAGTATATATGCTTCACCTATATATACATATTGTTGTGCACAGGGTCAATGATGGTGTTGAACACCGTTGATGTTGTCCATACTGATGATGGGCGATGCCAATGATGATTGTTTCTTGGGCATGGACCGGTTGGGAGGTGGACTGTTGCTAATGGTGACTAGTTGTGGTGTGAAGTGTGCTGGTGTCAGCTGAGGTTCCTCTTTTGCTGTACTGTCTCTACGACGGGATTCTTGGCGATCCAAAGGATGAATCAGATGGCCGATGAATCGAGACGCATGATGTGAAATTTCCTCGTGTCACAGTGAAGTTGAATGAAGTCTCTGAGTTTTTGCATGATGTGTAAGCGTTAACATATTATGTATTGCATTGATTTGAATTCATTTCACATTATTATGGCAAACATGTGGGCGGAAGATGACAGAAGCATTGAGATATATTGAGATCACCTTTGCGCCCCTTCCTGGCGACTATATTTCGACGTTTTGAGGTACGATATTTGGCCTCGTCCTCTCGGTGAACATGCGTGGTTTTCAGTCCCCGTCATCGGGGAGCTGATGTACTCCATTGGAGCTGTGGATGGAACTCGTCGGAATTGTGACCCTGGCGATGAAGTGGGACTGGTTCGAATAAATGCGACGAATATCTATATGGGTATGGATCAATACCTATAGATACCATTTTTAGTGGGATGAACATCCATTTACCAGCTATTTTGGGGTTCACTAGGTACCAGGGTTTTGACCCATCCCCATATAGATATAATTAGATATGGGACTTGTTTGGGGGGAGAACCATCCATTACCTGTTTTGATGCTCTGAAAGGAGAACAGAGTTTTAACCAATACCCAAGTCGCAGATGACCAGAGAGGTGACTAGTCATGGGAATGGATGTCCAACTGACTCCTATGAAGCTCCACACTTCTGCTGGAACTGGCCTTTGCTGAATATCTTGTTTGCACACTTTTGGTCCTTTGAAGCTGCTGCCCCGGCTCAAGAGCATCAAGTGACTCAAGCACTAGAGCCCGGCCCCAAACCATGTCGCGCTTCGTGGCTATTCTCCTTGGCGCAGTCTTTGTGCAGAGCTCTGCGTTTGTGGCCCCTGGTGCTCCACAGCCTGCTTTGCGCTCCGGCCGCTATGAGCAGATGCAGCGAGCTGAGATCCCTCAGGAGACCAACAGCAGCTCGCCTCTTGGGGCAGTTGTGATGGCTTCCTTCATGGGCTTGATCTTGGGCCTCACCAGCCCAAAAATGGCCTTCGCAGAAGAGAAAAAAGCACCAGTCGTGGAGGACAAGAAGGCAAAGTTGAAGGCAGAGGTTGCGAAAGCCCAGGCAGCCATCCAGAAGAACGCCAAGAGCAAGGAGGATCGCTTGAAGGAGCAAATCGCTCAGCTAAAGGAGGTGGAGAAGACGGCGGATTTGAACTTCGCCACCAAGTGAGGGGGGCAGCATTTTTTAGACAGGGCTTTCCCAGCTCTACAAGTAATGATTGCTCTATTCTAGCATGGGTCAAAGACTTGCTTGCGAAGCGACAAAAAGCACAAGGCGCTAGGGGCGCCTTTGCGGTTGAAGCTTCAGGGCAGCCACATGTGATTGGCTCGAGATATGCTGGGTCCAAAAAAAAAATCGGACAAAATGGTGGTTCCATTAGAACCACATGTTGGCATTTTTGAGCCAAGGGCGTAGGATTTGCATATTACCCTCCGGTAGCTGAACATGGCTATTGAAAGTGGCCATTTAGCTTGTTGATTTACGTTTTTCAAATGACTGACCTATTCAAAATGTTGATTTTCCATAGAAAACTGTTAGTTTGCCAGAGGCTAGTCACGTTTTTGGACTTCCCAACAGCTGAGGTGATTTGCTCATGGAACAGGGCTGCTGTTTGTTGGTGTACCCTGGTGGCGCGCGAGAGGCTTGGAAGCGAACAACGGACAAGCCCTACGAGATCCTTTGGGGTGGCTCAGAAGGGCAGTGAACGGTGGACAATTTGGGGAGGCGAGTTCAATACTTTTGAATTAAGGGTGGGTCTGAAAACGGTTTAAACATGTTTAATAAACAATGTTTAAACATACTCCGAGAATTTGACACATTAGATTCTCGAAAAATGAATGGAGATATACAATATTTATCGTGATTTTAAATGTTTTTGAATGTGCTGTTCCACACCTTGGCACAGAAGTGGTGGTTTTCTGAGCCTGGATCCGAGGTGAGAATCATGTTGGTTTCGTCCGCATGGCGGTGAGACACGGTTACACCATCGTACCAGTGGCCACAGTTGGAACTGAAGATGTGGTGCGACCAGTCATGGATGTGCCCATTCGGGAGGTTCTCACGGCTGGAGGGAATCTTGGCTGGCAGGATGGAGAGGGGCATTTGAACAGGGGTTGCTAAAATGTCCTGGAACAGAGGGATTCTGAACATCACTTTCAAGATCTTGAAAAAGTATTTGTTTCAGATTATGTCCCCAATAGATCCCAATAGTTGCTTGATGTGCTATTGGATATTTACCAACCACTGCTGAATTCGGCTGCTGTAGTCTTCTAAAATACTTATTTGTAGATTTTGTGGTGTCACAGAGATCCATGAGCATTCAAGGACGAAGAATTGTGGTTTGTCAAAGACCCGTTGATTGGAAGATACTTCTTGAGTTGAGTTCCAACATTTGTGTTGCAAATATCACTGATTTGAAGGCCCGCTTCTGAATCCTGTTTTCGTGCAAATGACGCTAGGCTGCCCTCTTTGCGTTTGTGATGACCGCACATTAAATACATTATATAATATATGGTGTATACTGTATAATATATATATATATGTGTGTGTGTACATACAATATATTTCAATTTTGCTGGTAGATCACGGGGACTTGCACCAAGTGAGGAAGAGGTGTACCACACCATTCTCCGGAGTCAAAAGTATACTATATATATATATATTATAGTATCTATGATACCCATCTTGTAAAGCCATGGTTCAACCGGCATTTGGTTTTAGATGTTTTGATGGGGATTTAGCCACCTCCCAGTTCGGTGACACCAATGATAGATGGTGAATAAATGGGTTTGGGTCCGTTCACCTTGACACCCCTTCTGTTCACATCCAGCTTGCTGGGATTTATGGATGTTCATCCCCCAAGTCGTTTGGTAGTAATGGGTCTTGGCAGGTTAATTCCGCATGTTTGATGGTTAAATCATGTTGAATCACTATTTTGGTAGATCAATAAACCCCTAAGAACATCTAACAAGCTATCAGCGCTCTTTTTATTGGTGCATATTCGTGCCTAAAAGGGACCTTACCGGTACCTTTCCCGTCCTTCAAACGGTCGTTTTTAAAACGGTAGGATGTTGAAACCGCCGGAGAGCAGCTCCAAAGCCTTTGAAGACGGAGCGCGATTTCCGGTGGTTCTCCCAAGGCCTGGAGATGTCACTTGTCGACATAACTTGGAACGACTCCCCTGTGAAATTGATTGTTTGATCTTGTTTGTGTGTATTTAGTGTGTATGAATCGTTGAATTGAATGTATCTAAGTGATTCGAAGTGAGGCTTCCTCTTTCTTCTCGTGTTGATTTGGTCACTTTTCTGTTGGACTGGTGATGTGTCACTTGGTCTTACCGGCACCATCCAGCACCTCCGTCCTTCGGCAGTTCACTGAGGCTCAAAAGGCAGGGAGCTGAAATTGCAGTCATCAGGTGATCAGTACCAGGTCACACCATGCAAACTGCCTGAGATAAAGACTTGGCATGTCTTGGTGGTGCTGAACATTTCATAAAAATCCATTCAAATCCCATTTAAGATGGCCCAAAATCATCCAAATCCAACAAGCACAGTGTATTCATTCGATTTCATTCGTGGTTTCACCTTCTTTTGCCTACAGCGCAGCCAGGTCTATTTCCGCATCATGCCGGTGCTGCGCACCTCGCACCTCGAAGGTCAGGAGGAGGACTTGGTGCTCCTTCGGAAACTCCGAGATCTCACGAAGCAGCGCCTGCAGGCGAGGGCGCCTGATGACAACAAAAAATGTTTACATGGGGGATATATGGGGGTGAACTGGGGGTGAACTGGGGTGATCCATAAATCCCAGAGATTGTACTTTGTGAACAGCACGCTGGAGCCAGGAAGGCATTGATTGGCTCTTGACATACCGAGAGTCGGATCCGCAGCGCTTTGTCTTCCGCTCCAACAGTAGCTTGGCGAAGGTGGAGTGATGCAGTCTGGAGTGATGTGCATGTAATATGTATGTGTTTATAGTGATACTATCGTGTCTATAGTGTCTATAAATCATGGATGTACTATAATTTAATTAGATATACATGAAGTCCATACATGTATACATATGTGCATATATTATTATATATATACATACATGGGATTCGATGGGTCAGAAATTGGGGCCATGGGGAACCACAGAGGGTCTCTAACCTGACTTTCCAAGGTACTTCAAGTGTGCCCAACCAGCCTGCGCCACCCAGAGGAATTGAGTCAGTGCCATTTTGTGCCCATAACTCGATGCGGTAGAATGGAGCAGAAGAGATACATCAACAGAGGACTAGTGCAAATATTGTATATTATATATATATGCGATATATTGTGTATATATATATATGTGTGTGTATTGTATATGGTTTACTGATGTTGATTGACCATTTCAAGTCTGGACTGAACAACTTTGGACAACCTCCAAGATAGATTATCTTTAAAAATCGCTGCATGAGCTGAGGTTGGCCTCCAGATCAAAGCTTTGAGGTGTCGTGTAAAGTTTGTGGCCGATGCCCAAAGTCCAGTTTCAAATATTTTCAAATAGTGGGCACCTGACTGATTTGAATTTGCACCCACTTGACTCCTAAGCTGCAAACGCGGCTTTCCACAGGCACAGAATCAAAAAAGATCAAAAATGCCCAGAACTAGGGTGGAGCGGATTCGGTCATGATTAGCTTGAGCTCCTCTTCGTTCTCTTGCAGATGTACCTCATGTATCTCATGTTCACGGACCAATTTTGAGGACGGCAGAATATACTATTCTCGTTTGGCCATATATGGCCATACTGTAAGCGTTTTCTGCTGCCAAGATGCTCTGTTTGATTGTCGCATGATCTCATGCGTCAAAAACGACAAAAACTGGGTGTCCCAGGTCGCAGAAAATGCTGATGATGCCTCCGAAACTGTCCATCGAGAAGGTGCTTAGCTGCTTTTGAACTGGTGCTTGTGTGAAGATTGTGATGTAGTTGAAGGATTAGTGGCTCTTTGTTTCTCTGCAACTCAAGCAAGCAACCAAGAGACCAATCTTGAAGCCGATGTTGGTCCGGAGGTGTTTGCAGAAATGAAGGCAATCGCACATGCTTCTGGCAAAGATTCTCAGAAGTCAAAGAAGGCCTCGAGTCGTCCAAGACTTGAGCTACTTGGGAAAGCTATTCGACCCATCTACTGCATGTAGACTCTGTCTTGAGGAGAAAATCCAAAAACTGCTGGTGGCATCCAGGGGTGAGGAGGCCGGTTGCACTTTACAGTGGATGCTGCTGTTTAGTCAGTTTAGTCGCAACGAATTTCCCAACATCTCCTTTTTTTTTGAAGGCCAAGTTTATCGTTCGAATGCTTCAAGCCGGAACCTTGGTGCCACTGCCACTGCCCACTGATTTGACCTATCCATCCACTCGACAGCCAAGGCCAAGCTGCGAATTGGGATCCAGATCCCAACGCTGCTGCAGGACGCCTGCCAGCGCAGTGCTTGGAGAACGGGATTCCCCCGTTGGATGATTAAATGTAGACCATATATATATAGATAGATATACTGTACAGTGTATATATATATGTATGTATATATAAAGGGTAGTATAATCCCCCAACTCATCATCAACCAACAGGGGTGGGTGGATCGCAGCCACTGCTCAACTGCAGATATGATGATGATTGAAGGTTTGTTTTTCAGTGATTGCATCTGATTGCTGGCTTGGTTGATATATTTATTGATATGTCACATGTCGAACATTGGTTGATCAGTTGCCTCTGTCAGTTACCATGATATTCAATGATAGATTCCACCATTCTTTATGGGATATTCCACCAGTTTTTTACTCGGATATTCCACCATGTTTATTGGGTTTTCATGGATTTTCCAGCATTTTTACTGGGATCCATGCTGTAATCCAGGCCCTGGCGTATGCATTCACCTTGACCCAGCCTGGCCCTGCGGCTGGACCGGCCAACGTGACCGACCGACGACTTGGACAGGCGCTGCCATTTTGGGTGAAAAAACATGGGTGGTTTCTACAGGGAACAGACAATGTCGTGCCCACGGGCTGCAGAATGCCAGAATTAGCTGCGGAGAAGTTAACGTAAGAAGTCGTGCCTACCCCCTAAACACAAGCGACCTCTGGCGTTTTTGGCGCACTTTTCTTGAGTTTTGTTGCTGCTGTGCTGCTGCCTGGTTGGAATGAAGGATGTTACTCCAACTAAAACAGCAGGAATGGCAGCAAGATCATTTTGAAACCACATCAATTGAATAAGTGCTGCAATGCTGGGTGTGGTCCTTATGACAAGGGAACATGTGATATTTTTCTTAGCGAATGTGGAATTCCATTGTTAAACAACTCAATCTAAACCATTGGCCACAAGAACAGTTTGAAACCACATCAATTGAATGAGTGCCGGAATGATTGCGGTGACAAGCAGGAAAGCCTTTTAGGCATGACTTAGGCGTGACTTTTGGAGCGGTGACAATGGGGGAAGCCCCGTAGGCATGACTTAGGCGTGACTTTCTCTTTTGCCTGTACCATCACTGTACCTATACATGTACACATGTTAAATGTTGATATGATACGAATAATTATTACATATTATATTTAAGTATATCTAGAGAATATATATATATATACTGTATATATATATATACACATACAGTATGTGTGTGTGTGCGTGTGATTATTTAACTCATTTCCCTGCTTGTATATCTGGGGTGTTGGGCCTGTTGGGAGCAACCCTGAATGTGGGTTGTCAAAGGTGACTAAAAGTGTCTGCTTTTATGGTTTGATGATTTCACAAGGATTTTTGTTTGTTTTCCTTCGGCTCTGTAGCATTGTGTCATATACAAGTACAAAGTATTACAAAGTCTTCAATTCCATCCCACTGCAGAGACAATTGTTCAGGGTTCCCAAAGCAACTGGAGTGCCTTCAAGTTTTGTCGGCTCTCATTTCTATTCTCTCCCCGACACAATCTGTTTGATGCACCGACAGCTTTCAGGGCAAGCTCTCGCCCGTCGAACTCGAATCTCAAATGGTGGCAATGGAGGCTGCAGTGCGGCAAGTCTTAGGCTCAGTGCAGGCAAACCAATGGGTCCATCATCACTTTTATTGATTAAGACGCTTGCTCTCACAATGAAGCATGGTTTTTGTTTCACGGGCATGAGTTGACCACAACATGTCCTCATGTTTCACGTCAGTAATTTGCGTTTTTTTCTGGATCCAGAAAATAGATAAAGTGGGAACTCCACAAGACATATTATGCCCCAGGCGCAGGCTCCCATGCAGACGGCGTAGGTTGCGTAGGCATTGGCGTAGGCTCGTTTTGGCCTACACCGTGTAGGCTTTGTGTATAGACTTATAGACACGCGTTCTCAGGAGCTAGAACTTCTATTCATTTTGCCTTGATTAGTTGTGTGTGGTTCCAAAGCCTCATGCCACAATTGGAAACAAAAAGAAGGCATGACCGCGTCGGCAAAGCCTACACCGCGTAGGCTTGCATAGACACCCTTAAAAACCATACCCCGCGTAGGCTACGTCATGCAATGGCGTAGGCTCGGCGTAGACAGTTGCGTAGGTTGTATCTTACTGGTCATCGAAAGACAAGGATTAAAAAAACTACTCACGTGTTTCATAGCAAGGTTTTCCAATCTGATTCCATTGAAAATTTGGTATACCCAATAATGTTGCCATAAATAGCCATGAAGTACCATTACCCAATGCTATCTTTTCCATGCTTTAAGATTGCCATCAAATTCTGGCTCACCTTTGGGAAGCCCAGGATTTGTTTCTTAGATATCTCCAGCAACACTTCGGGGGTTCATGTTATCATGTAACTGTGACTGGATATATAATATATACACTTACATGTACAATATGTTTTGTATATGTATTCCGATATATCCCATATCCCATAAAATATCCCATGATAGTTGGTTGTATACCCCATCTTTGTTGGCTAAATTCAATGTACTACGGATGCCCCTTCAGCATGACCGTGGCTGTGGGTCCGCTGACCTTTTTGGGGACAGACTAGGGAAAAACCTAACAAGTTTGGGGCTAAAAACCAGCTAGTTTCCCATTGAATCCCAATAAATTGTTCTAATCAATGAATTGTTCTAAGATTCTAAACCCAATAACAAATCAATGGATTGAGTTTCCTGATCATTTTAGAAGAATCCATTGGATGATCATCCATTCAGCCAACCTTTCACCAAGGCCTTCAGTGAGATGCCAAACTTCGTCCGGTTTGCCCAGTGACGACTTATCGTCCACCGGGTTGCTGTGGGGTGACTGACCAAGGACAACCTGATCAAGGCGTTGATGGAAGGTCGCAACAGTCCAACCGGCCTTGTTTTTTCCCATCTAAGGGGATCAGGGGGACCGGGGGATGCTACAAAGATTTGGGAGCGCTCACCTGGAAAATGCAGGATGTTGAAACTGTTGAGAAAATTGAACACAGTTTTCAAGTTTTCATGTTGCAGCATGGCAGGCCAGTCCCTGCTAGAGGTTTGCAGGATCTCCCTTGGGGTTCCAGTGAAACCAATGTCCTCACCTCAGACCATGCGACAAAGACTTGTTGGGGGAGCGTATATATGAGTACCATTGAGTACCTTCAATCACCCCATTTCTCCTGGCTCAAGATGCTGTTTGAGGGTCCATTTTGTAGAGAGCCACCAAATCTTTTTTGAAGAGCCATGTCGCAATGTTTCAAATGTGGCCTAGATGCGAGTGACGGGATAGTGTTTGTATGGGATAGTGTGCAGTCCAAATGGAGTGAATTCACATCATATCAGCCAAGTCCGAGCACTGAAGCCTGCAATGTATACTGCGAAAGCTGCTGGGAAGACTGGGGGAAGCATGTGAAGCCAGATAGCAAATATGCATTGAGCAGGGCTTGCGAAGAGTTGGCCATCCAGATGGGCATCCAGTTTTGCCCCGATTCAAGGAGCAATCCCTTTCTTTGCCCACCGTGCAACAGATTGTTCAACGCAGGTGCAAGCTCCCTGGTGAGACATTTGGTGCAAATGCACAATCCGGCTCTGCAACACAAGGACTTCACACCAGCTCCACTTCACGTCTCGGCTTGCAACAATCACAAACAGGCTTCTGAGGAGATGAGAGGAAATTACATCGCAAAGGGTTGGCACCATGGAAAACCCCTCTATCAAAAGGTTTGCACAGATGTCTCTGATGTAGTTGTCTTCCTGTACTTCTGGGATAGTCGCCATGGCGAACAGCATCATGGCTGGTGGTTCTCTCCAAGAAAGGTAGGCAGTCGAGAAGTGCTGGCATACAATTCCAGTCAAGGGCCAGATGATTTGACAGTGCCCACGTTTGGATGGAAAGTCCCATGGCATGGACATATTGACCAGACTTTGAGCATCACAATGTATAAAGACAGCAACGCTCGCGATGACACTGAAATCGAGCTTCGATGGCAGTTCGTGGTTAGCAGAGACGGAGAGAGAGAAAACTGGCAGCCGATGAAGAAGGACATGAATGATGCGCTTGAGAGGCGTTGGACTGGAGGGTGGTATGGTGACAATGGGACTCATACCTTTCATGTAGAATCAAATGGCTTCACGTATGCTATCGATTGCCAAAGTATGGTGCAATGGAATGTGAGCACAAACCGCAGGCGGCGCATCCAGAGGAGTGAAGCCCAACTGGATGTGGTGTCGCTACCCAAACTGACTGCGAAAGATGCCTATGTAGAACGGCTCCAAAGCGAAAGGAATAGTCTTGTGGAGGAGAAAAGCGAGTTGCTTGCCAAAGTAGCACAGTTGGAGAAGGAGAAGAAAGCTTTGGAGTCGCAAGCAGACCATACCACCAAGATGATCTTGCAGGAATCTTGGCGAATGAACCGCCAGCTGCAAACAAAGGTGTGCACTGAATTGAATCATTGGGATGATGCTTTTCAAAAAATCCGGCAGGCCCTGGTTAATGCGTGCCCTGTGGATCACTATGGGGACTGCGAGCGCATGAGGAATGTCAGGATCACCCGGCTCCAACAGATTTGCAACGTTCGCATTTGGAAGGACTATGAGTTCCGAAAGGACCAAATCCGAAAAGAGCTGGAAGACCGCCAGCGAGTTCCTGTTGTGACTCGTGCATTGTCATCTCAAGTGTGCCCTTGGGCGCGGCTGGATCCCAAAGTCAACGAAATTCTGGTTGTTCATGGGACCACTGATGACAAGACGGACCAAATAGCAAATTTTGGATTTGATGAGCGCCTCGCACGGGATTTCGGACTTTATGGCCAAGGAGTTTATTTCACAGATCAAAGCTGCAAGAGTTTGCAGTATTCTGGGGAAGCAGAGCAAAAGGTTGGTTGCTTCATAATTGCTCGCGTGATACTTGGGCACCCCTACGATGCCCCAGGGCGTTTGTTGCAAACAAGAGTGGAACCATTCGTTGAACCAAGCGACCCTTCGAGAGGCCGCTTCCACTCGGTAAGGGTTCATCCTGGGACTCCCAGAGCCATTGGACAAATACAAGTGCATAGAGAATTTGTCATTTTCAATGGAGCTCAGGCCTATCCAGAAATGATTGTTCACTTTACCATTACTTGAGCGCCCCAATGTACAAAGCATGTCGACCAGAGGTTTGACTCACATCGAGGCAAAATAATTAAAGCAGTGCCAAAGCCGTGGTTGCGGAGCTGTCGCTCTTCAACATAGGATTCAAATAGATTTAAAATGTGCTTGAGACTTGAGACATCTTGAGACAATGCTCGGATTTGGATGCTGCACTAAGGCTTGCGAAGCCATCCAAAGGCATTGCAGAGGCCATCGCATCTTTTTTGTGAACTTGTGATGTAACAGTCCTTATCATCGCCTCCCAAATTTCACAGGAACCAATCAAGAGATGTCAGCTGTTGCATATTTGCATTTTGCCCATGCAGGTTGGTGAACGTCTATCTGGGAAGAGATTCACTGGCGAATGGAAGTACGATGGAGAGCGAGCGCAAATCCACGTCCTTTCTCGCGACACGATCCAGGCAACTCTTGCACTCTTGGGTAAAGGAGTTTGGAGTCTGTTGGCTGGTGGTTTCGAAGCCATTTTATGGTTGGTGATTTGGAACATTTTTCATTTTTCCATATTGCAAATAACCCCAACTTACTAATATTTTTCAGAGGGGTTCAAACCACCAACCAGTTTTGCTTTCCTTCATCACCAGGGTCGATGAACTTCGATGGACCATATCTGCGGGATAGATTTTCATGACGCCCTTGCAGATCTACAGCCGCAATTCCGAGAACATGACGGAGAAATATCCAGATGTCATTCAGGCCAAGAAACACAACTTTGCATCGCACAAGAATTATTGATCTGTAGAATTAGAGCGATATTATAGCATATTGTAGCCAGATTACAGCCAATATTGCTGTTGGTGGCATTGTTTCCTGGTTGTCAGCATGGGTCGAAGGTTGTGAAGGAAACCTTGGCTCAGGACCGGCAAGATACTGTAGACTTTGCAGCTACAGTATGTCTCAATCTGTCTCAGGAAAAGTATTGGTTTTTATGTTTTTTCAAGCTGAGGTGAGTTTTTTTAACCATTTGCCGGGTCCTAAATCACTGAATGTTCAGGACGTGGAGAGTTGCATCATTGACAGCGAGCTGGTCGCATATGATCAGGTCAACAAGAAGATCCTCCCCTTCCAGGTGTTGACCACGCGCGGCCGTAAAAACATCAACGTGGAGGACATCAAGGCGCGTTGCAGATGGGTGACCGTCAGGTTTTGTCTCAAAATGAGGGATACCCAAAATGTGCAAGTTCCGCAAGTTCCATAATTGTTTGAATGGGAAAAATGATACATTCATATAGTCACTATAGTCAACCATTGGATTTTGGGGTACCCTACTTTCAGATAAACAGATATTAGTTAGTGCTGAACTTGCTGTAGGTGAATGTGTGCTTGTTTGCCTTCGACTGCATGCTGGTGAACGGCAAACCTCTGGTGAAGGAGAGCTCCTGATGATGATTTGTAGATATAAGGCTGCATGGAATCCATTGGAGTCCATTGAAATCCATTGCAATGCATTGGAATCCATCATTGGAATCATTGGAATCCATTGCATTTGGTAGAACGTTTGCCAAATTCCCACAAGTTGTTGCAAGCTGCAAGCTGTTGAGGAGCCACTGGAAGTCCGCCGCGAGAAGCTTTGGAAGATGTTGGCCCCCATGGAGGGAAAGGCAGTAGCCAACATCCAACCAACATCCAACATTCAGCATGGCTGTTCTGGAAGGTGGAATGTGGAAACAACCCTGTTTTACAGCATTTTTGAGGTTTAGTCTGAAAATAGGGTACCCCCCCATTCCAGCGGATTCAGACAACCGTTGTCGCCAGGTCACCTTTGCTGTATACAAGAACTTTGATGACATCAATGAGGAGGAGATTCAGGTGAAGAACTGCCTATGGTTTAAACACGTGTAAACATACAGTTTTGTTCCAAAAAATAACTAGGTGTTTTGATACTGGAAGTGAGGAGCCGTTGTGGTTCCTTCCCCATGCCCACCGTGGCAGGCGTTTCTGGACGAATCAGTGGCTGGTTCCTGTGAGGCGTTGCCGCTCTGCAGTAGCTTCCAATGATTCCCTCTGTTTCTGCATGACTTGCATGAGTTGTCGAAGGAAGTTTAGAAGTCAAACTTCCGACAATATGGACAGATGAAAAGCAGAGCAGGGAAGAGGCAGAGAGAAGAGAAAGATTAGAAGAGAGAAGATCAGAAGAGAAAGATCAGAAGAGAGAAGATCAGAAGAGAAAGAGTCAGAAGAAAGAAGATGCAGATGCGCGAAAAGGTAGGAAAGTCGCGAAACACTGTGTTTTTCCAATGATTTGTGGCTCCGGAGAGTCGAAAAGTAGGCTCGCTAAAGCGGCGGGTGCGGAGCCAGCTGGCCAGATGAGAGATGAAAAATTGCACGCCGTTGTGGCGCGAAGCACATTTCCAAGTCAAAATGCACAAAACACACCAGGTCCGGACCACTTTTGGAAGTTGAGATGTCGAAAAAGTGCACGCCGTTGTGGCACGAAGCACATTTCCAAGTCAAAATGTACAAAACACCAGGGGTTCGGACCACTTTTGGAAGTTGAGATGTCGAAAAAGTGCACGCCGTTGTGGCGCGAAGCACATTTTGAAGTGAAAATGCACAAAACACACCATTCTCGGAGCACTTTTGGAAGTTGAGATGTCGAAAAAGTGCACGCCGTTGTGGCGCGAAGCACATTTTGAAGTCAAAAGTGTTAAAAACTGACGGTCTCGGACCACTTTTGGAGGTTCGGATGTCGAAAAAGTGCACGCCGTTGTGGCGCGAAGCACATTTCCAAGTCAAAATGTTAAAAACACCAGGGTCTCGGACCACTTTTGGAGGTTCAGATGTCGCTTCGCTTCGCTTCATTACACTACACTACATTACACTACACTACACTCCACTACACTACATTACATTACACTACATTCCACAACACTTCAACTACAACTACACAACTACATTGCACTACACTCCACTACACTAAATTACACTACACTCCACTACACTAAATTACACTACAGTACACTACACTCCACTACACTACACTACATTACACTACACTCCACTACACTCCAGCACACTAAATTACATTACACTACACTACACTATACAACTACACTCCACTACACTAAATTACACTACACTACATTACACTACACTACACTACACTCCACCACACTAAATTACACTACACTTCACTACATTACACTGCACTACACTCCACTACACTACATTACACTACACTACACTACCTTCCACTACACTTCACTACATTACACTACACTCCACTACACTACAACTACAACTACAACTACAACTATACAACCACACTCCACTACACTCCACTACACTAAATTACACTACACTAAATTACACTACACTACACTACATTACACTACACTACACTACATTCCACTACACTCCACTACACCACACTACGCTACACTACACTACATTGCACTCAATGACACTGCACCACAGATAGACAGGTAGACAGCTAGACAGATGAAGGAGAGAGAGGGAGATAGATAGATAGATAGATAGACAGATAGAAAGATAGATAGATAGATAGAAAGAATGACAGATAGATAGATAGAAAGATAGATAGATAGATAGGTAGAAAGATAGATAGATAGATAGATAGATAGGTAGAAAGATAGATAGATAGGTAATTAGATGAAAGAGAGAGAGAGAGATAGGTAGATAGATAGATAGGTAGGTAGGTAGGTAGGTAGATAGTCAGAGAAAGAGAGAGAAATAGTGAGAGAGATCAAGCACCTTTCGGTCCGTCAGTGGATTCGCTCTGCCATCCCTGATTCACAACAACCAATCTCTCCTATAGGTTTCCTATTTTTGAAACTTCCGCCACCGCCTTGTGCGGTACTACTGGTATGAGTTCTTCCAATTGTCTTCTTTTGTTGGTTGGTCACGAAATAATACGAAATCATATGAAATCCCTGTTTCACACGTTATTTTTGGAAGATCGGATGGCTCACATTTATCAATCAACCAGTACTGACCAATCCACACAGTTGCTATTGACAACTGCCCACACCGTGTCTCAGGGCCTCATGCTGAAGACTCTCACAGATAACGCCACGTATGAACCATCGAAGCGATCCTTGAATTGGTTGAAACTGAAGAAGGAGCAGCTGAAGTTTGGGGTGTCTCAGTGTTCTCAATGAGGGGATGGTACAGTAGTACAGTAACTAACAGTGTCTCAATTTGGGGAGATGTTTGAGGTCGTCTGGAATGTTTCTGTAGTGAAGTGCGACAAAGTCGGCGCGTGCCTGAGAGGACTACCTCGAGGGAATGGCAGACAGCATTGATGTGGTGCCAATTGGGGCCTACTACGGCAAGGCAGGAACCAATGACTCGTCCAGCGCCATTAGTAGCCTGGATCGACCATCAGCTGAATTTGCAGTTTCATTCATGTTTTTCGCACATGCTTCAGGGAAAGCGTTCTGGTGCATATGGGGCCTACTTGCTGGCGGTCTATGACCAAGAGGCAGGACTTTAGGAAACAATTATTACTACACTCCAGTCATTTTTGCTTGAGTGGGATTTCTGAACAAGTCCGTTCTAGTTGCCTAAAATTGCAGGGGTTGCTTGCAAGTGTTTTTCCAAGAGTATTCATTGATGGGGTGGTTGCTCTTTGCAAATCCCATGACATGTCAATGATTCCATCCACATTTTAAGAGTTGCTGCCACCACATGAGCTTGATTGCAGAACGAAGAGTTCCAGACCGTTTGCAAAGCTGGCACTGGATTCTCAGACGAGGCTCCCAGTTCCAGAAAAATGCTGGTGGTTTCAAGTTCCAGTTCCATTCCAGCTAGGATGATGATCCCCTATGGCTTTCTTAATGAGTTGGAGGGTTGACACCACCTGCAGTATTGATTTGCAGCTGCCTTTTGGAGGACCTTCAGACCCACTACAAGTTCTTCAAGGAGCATTTGAGGGGCTGTGCAGAGGTGCGAAACTTGGATTCTCTTCGTCCCAAAGTTGATGGCAAAAACATGTAAAAACCCCTGGTGTCCCGTAGGTTTTCCCTTCAAACTCATTCCAAAAAAGCTGCCTGAGACCAACTACAATGTGAATGACAAGCTGAAGCCAGATGTTTGGCTGGAACCTTACCAGGCGGGTCCCTTTGATCAGCAATATGGAGCAATACGGAGCAATTTCCAGCTGTTTCCTTGAGATTTCCATGATTTCCAAGCATGAAAACTCCAAGCAACAGGCCATCTTCATAGCCAAACCAAGTGCATGAACCCATTTGGCTTGACTTGCTGAATGGCAGATCTCCATTTGTCCTTTGATTCTTCTCTTGGAATTTTGGGTTGCCAGGTATGGGAAATCCGAGCAGCGGACCTAAGCATCTCGCCAGTTCATACCAGTGCCTTTGGTGTCAAGGCTGGGATACAGGCTGAGATCTGCTCGAAGTGAAAAATCTGTGGCCGATCAGGCGGATGGCAAGGGCATCGGCTTGAGATTTCCGCGCTTTTTAAGAATCCGCGATGACAAGACCGCAGAGGATGGGCCTTTCTTGTCGAACCTTTTGATACTAACATACACTAACATAGAAATGGAAAATCCCCAATCAAGAATAATGGATTTTCTGATTTCCCATGGTTTATGTGTGTTCCATGTTTCAGATTGCGAGGAGTCCACGGGGCCAGAGCAGATCGTGGAGATGTTCGAGTCACAGGCCTCCGTAGGCGGCCAAGCCATGGCGCGGTGCCCAGTCAGAAGGTCATAGGGGGATTTCACTGCGCATTATGGTGAGAAACCATGAGAAACCACAGGATCTAGGCAATCTAGGCATCCTATTTTTCAGGATCCTTAGTTTGTTCATAAGAACATGTGGGAACAGCTCAACATGATGGATCATTTCGAGTTCGGATTTTGCAGTGATTGTGGAAAGTATCAACAAATGTACCCAACCAGAGCTCATGCTTTCGCACAATTCGTGAGGCTGATGATGATTTTTAGAGCAAGGAGCTGACGTGTTCAAGCTGGGGTTGGGGTACCTGTAGTATACCTACAATGCACATGTTACATCATGGTCTTAGGTGTGTCATTCAACATTGACATACCGTGCTAGCACATGTGCACATATTCTATACACATAATGGATGTGATAAAGTGTGTGATAGCAGCAGGATGCGAGAGTCACAGCAGTGACGTGTGTTTGCATGTGCAGGTGTGTCCGTTGGAAGACAACTGACATTTCACGGGTAAGCTGAGATGTTTCCATTGGATGACCGATCATGTGAAATGAAGGAACTGCGGGCGTGCAACATGCCCTGCTGAAAAAAATCATGAAGTAAAAGGTTCCGAGCTCAGCACCCTGTGCTGTGAGATTCTGTCAGACAAGTGCTGATATCATGATCCAAGCTGCTCGACTGCTTGGGTTCACAATTTTTGCAGATATCAAATGAGGTTGGGAACATACCAACTTGGTCAGAGATGAGTGGGGACATCTTCTCCTGTCTTAGTCGGCCTGTCCAGGTTTTGATTTGACTTGCGAAGTTCTGGTCGCCAGAGATTGATTTTTTGGCAGCCTTTATGGAGTAATTAAGAACTAACAATTTGAATTTAGATGATTTTAGGAATTTTAAGGAATTTTATTTTTTAGAGTTTAGATGATTTTAGATTTTAGATGTGTGTTTTCGTATTTGTGAATCTACTTCCTATCTCATGCCATCCGCTCACAATTTTCACTTGCCCATGTCACTGGTCTGCAAGCCTGCCAGGCATTCGCCTGATGACAGTTGCGGGTAGTGCGAATGGACCACCATTGCTGCACCTTCCATGCTCAACAGTATGATCTCTGATTAGAAAACGATGGATAACAGGTGAAAAGTCATCGCAATTGAAGATGAAGGACACTCAATATACATGAAGAATCATGAATATAAAAAAATGATTTATCCTGGGGCAACCGAAGGGGGCAACAGTGCATTGGAGAATCAGAGGCAGTGAGCCTCCTTCAGATGCTTGTGCGATGGGGCGCGCCTGTTGCAGTAGCCAAAAAGTCATCATGGGCTGACATGTCTTTGCAGCGTGGGTGTCCCGCACAACTTGCCGTGTGGGAACCGTCCAAAAAGTCCTGGATGATTCCCACAAACCTCATGGTTGATCGTTGATCATCATTTTACCAATGAAATCCCATTAAGATTTGTCAAAGGAAGTTTAGGGGGAGAAACTTCCGTGTTACGGACTTTTAGAATGTCAGGGAAAGAGTTAGTCAAAGAAAGAGTTAGTCAGGGAAAGAGTTAGCAAAGAAACAGTTAGTCAGGGAAAGAGTTAGTCAAAGAAAGAGTTAGTGAGGGAAAGAGTTAGTCACAGAAAGAGTTAGTCAAAGTTCGTCAGGGAAAGAGTTAGTCAAAGAAAGAGTTAGTCAGGGAAAGAGTTAGTCAGTCACAGAAAGAGTTCAAAGTTCGTCAGGGAAAGAGTTAGTCAAAGAAAGAGTTAGTCAGGGAAAGAGTTAGTTAGTCAGGGAAAGAGTTAGTCAAAGAAAGAGTTGAGGGAAAGAGTGAGAGGAAAGAGTTAGTCACAGAAAGAGTTAGTCAAAGAAACAGTTAGTCAGGGAAAGAGTTAGTCAAAGAAAGAGTTAGTGAGGGAAAGAGTTAGTCAAAGAAAGAGTTAGTCAGGATATGTGAGGTAGAAACAGTTAGTCAGGGAAAGAGTTAGTCACAGAAAGAGTTTGCAAAGAAAGAGTTCGTCAGGGAAAGAGTTAGTCAAAGAAAGAGTTAGTCAAAGAAACAGTTAGTCAGGGAAAGAGTTCGCAAAGAAACAGTTAGTCAAAGAAAGAGTTAGTGAGGGAAAGAGTTAGTCACAGAAAGAGTTAGCAAAGAAAGAGTTCGTCAGGGAAAGAGTTAGTCAAAGAAATTGTTCCCTCACTGTAAATGGGATTGCAAGTGGTGCTGGTGGAGGAGTTGCCGATGGAGTTTTGAAGGAAGTCTCGCACGAAATGCGTTTTTGAGAGATAGCAGATGCACGAAAGCCTATGTTTTTCCATACAAAGTCCGTCCCCGAACCTCGATGATCTACCTCTGCGGTGCGGCGGTTGCGAGACGGTCTCGTGTGTGGTCGGATCATTCTCGGATCATGCTCGGACAATGGTCGGATCGGTTCCGCATTGTAAATTGGGTTTCAACTGTTTTTCGTGCATGTGCGGTCGACAGAATTCCATTGTGATTTGCAACTGTAGGATCGTTCCCGCATTGTAAATGGGGTTGCAAGTGGTGCTGGTGGATGAGTTGCCGATGGAATTCAAGTGTGATTTGCAACTCTAGGATCGTCCCCTCACTGTAAATGGGATTGCAAGTGGTGCTGGTGGAAGAGTTGCCGATGGAGTTTTGAAGGAAGTCTCGCACGAAATGCGTTTGTGAGAGATAGCAGATGCACGAAAGCCTATGTTTTTCCATACAAAGTCCGTCCCCGAACCTCGATGATCTACTGCGGTGCGACGGTTGCGAGACGGTCTCGTGTGTGGTCGGATCGTGGTCGGATCATTCTCGGATCATGCTCGGACCATGGTCGGATCGGTTCCGCATTGTAAATGGGGTTTCCACTGTTTTTCGTGCATGTGCGGTCAACAGAATTCCATTGTGATTTGCAACTGTAGGATCGTTCCCGCATTGTAAATGGGGTTGCAAGTGGTGCTGGTGGATGAGTTTGCAAGTGGTGCTGGTGGATGAGTTGCCGATGGAATTCCATTGTGATTTTCAACTCTAGGATCGTTCCCTCACTGTAAATGGGATTGCAAGTGGTGCTGGTGGAGGAGTTGCCGATGGAGTTTTGCAGAAAGTCTCGCACTAAATGCGTTTTTGAGAGATAGCAGATGCACGAAACCCTATGTTTTTCCATACAAAGTCCGTCCCCGAACCTCGATGATCTACCTCTGCGGTGCGACGGGTGCGAGACGGTCTCGTGTGTGGTCGGATCATTCTCGGATATTCTCGGATCATTCTCGGATCGGTTCCGCATTGTAAATGGGGTGTCACCTGTGTTTCGTGCATTTGTGGTCGACAGAATTCCATTGTGATTTGCAACTGTAGGATCGTTCCCGCATTGTAAATGGGGTTGCAAGTGGTGCTGGTGGATGAGTTGCCGATAGAATTCCATTGTGATTTGCAACTCTAGGATCGTTCCCTCACTGTAAATGGGATTGCAAGTAGTGCTGGTGGAGGAGTTGCCGATGAAGTTTTGAAGGAAGTCTCGCACGAAATGCGTTTTTGAGAGATAGCAGATGCACGAAAGCCTATGTTTTTCCATACAAAGTTCGTCCCCGAACCTCGATGATCTATACCTCTGCGGTGCGACGGGTGCGAGACGGTCTCGTGTGTGGTCGGATCATGGTCGGATATTCTCGGATCATTCTCGGATCGGTTCCGCATTGTAAATGGGGTTTCAACTGTTTTTCGTGCATGTGTGGTCGACAGAATTCCATTGTGATTTGTAACTGTAGGATCGTTCATGCATTGCAAATGGGGTTGCAAGTGGTGCTGGTGGATGAGTTGCTGATGGAATTCCATTGTGATTTGCAACTCTAGGATCGTTCCCTCACTGTAAATGGGATTGCAGATGGAGTTTTGAAGGAAGTCTCGCACGAAATGCGTTTTTGAGAGATAGCAGATGCACGAAACCCTATGTTTTTCCATACAAAGTCCGTCCCCGAACGTCGATGATCTACCTCTGCGGTGCGACGGGTGCGAGACGGTCTCGTGTGTGGTCGGATCATTCTCGGATCATGGTCGGATCATTCTCGGACCATGGTCGGATCGGTTCCGCATTGTAAATGGGGTTTCAAGTGTTTTTCGTGCATGCGCGGTCGACAGAATTCCATTGTGATTTGCAACTGTAGGATCGTTCCCGCAATGTAAATGGGATTGCAAGTGGGATGAGTTGCCGATGGAGTTTTGAAGGAAGTCTCGCACGAAATGCGTTTTTGGCGCTAGTGATTTTCCTTCTAAAAATCCTTTTAAAAAGTGCTTCAAAATCGTCTTTTTTTCGCTCTGGCGTCGAGATCCGGTTTTGGAGCTACAATTTCCGACGCCGTTGCGCGTAGGTCTATTGTGTTTTGCAACTGAGTCTCCGCAGATCGCATTGTAATGGCTGTGTCGAGGTTGCTTCATGCTGTGGCTGCATGCGTAATACTATTGTCTTTTGCAGCTGGACTTCGTAAATCGTATTGGAGTGGCTGCATGAAGGCTGCGACAGTGATTTGTCAGCAGATTTTCTCCATTTTGGCGCTAGCGATTTTCCTTCTAAAAATCTTTTTAAAAAGTGCTTCAAAATCGTCTTTTTTCCGCTCTGGCGTCGAGATCCGGTTTTGGAGCTACAATTTCCGATGCCATTGCGCGTAGTTCTCTTGTGTTTTGCAACTCAGTCTCCGCAGATCGCATTGGAATGGCTGCGTCAAGGTTGCTTCTTGCTTTGGCTGCATGCGTAATGTCTTTTGCAGCTGGATCTCTTACATCGTCTTGGACTGGCTGCATGAAGGCTGCGAAATGGATTTGTTAGCAGATTTTCTCCATTTTGGAGCTAGTGTTTTTTTGTTGCACGTAGGTTTAGAGCAGTGTGAAGTGTGGGGCGTGAAGAGTGCAGTGTGAAGTGTGCAGTGTGAAGGAAGCAGTGGGAAGTGAGAAGTGTGGAGTGTGAAGTTTAAGTTTGGAGTGCGAAGAGCGCAGTGTGAAGTGTGAAGTGTGAAGTGTGAGGTTTGGAGTGTGAAGGAAGCAGTGAGAAGTGTGGACTGTGAAGTGTGAAGTGTGAAGTGTGGACTGTGAAGTGTGGAGTGTGAAGTGCGAAGTGAGAAGTGTGAAGTTTGGAGTGTGAAGGAAGCAGTGAGAAGTGAGAAGTGTGAAGTGAGAAGTGTGAAGTGTGGACTGTGCAGTGTGGAGTGCGAAGAGCGGAGTGTGAAGTGTGAAGTGTGAGGTTTGGAGTGTGAAGGAAGCAGTGAGAAGTGTGAAGTGTGGACTGTGAAGTGTGAAGTGTGAGTGAAGTGTGGAGTGTGAAGTGCGAAGTGAGAAGTGTGAAGTTTGGAGTGTGAAGGAAGCAGTGAGAAGTGTGAAGTGAGAAGTGTGAAGTGTGGACTGTGAAGTGTGAAGTGTGAGTGAAGTGTGGAGTGTGAAGTGCGAAGTGAGAAGTGTGAAGTGTGAAGTTTGGAGTGTGAAGTTTGGAGTGGGAAGGAAGCAGTGAGAAGTGAGAAGTGTGAAGTGTGGACTGTGAAGTGTGGAGTGTGAAGTGAGAAGTGTGAAGTTTGGAGTGTGAAGAAGCAGTGAGAAGTGAGAAGTGTGAAGTGAGAAGTGTGAAGTGTGGACTGTGAAGTGTGGAGTGTGAAGTGCGAAGTGAGAAGTGTGAAGTGTGAAGTGTGAAGTTTGGAGTGTGAAGGAAGCAGTGAGAAGTGAGAAGTGTGGAGTGTGAAGTGTGGAGTGTGAAGTTTGAAGTTTGGAGTGCGAAGAGTGCAGTGTGCAGTGTGAGGTGTGGAGTGTCGAGGGAAGGACACGGTCGGGACAGGTTGTCTTTGAACTATAGGTCATTTATGTTTGGGAAACTTCCGCCGCCGGCTTGCCCGGGTCTATGTTATAATATAATAAGAAATCCCATTTTACCCATGGATGGTTGGCATAAGATCAACCTTAAACTTGGGCTGGCTATACCCCATTGGACAGACCCAGCATCGCCCAACAAGCCGAAGGCCTATCCGGAGGCAGAGGAAGTCGAGACGGAGCCGGAAGCCGAAGACCGAGCCCGAGAGGCCTGGCTACGAAAATCCTTTTCCGTCAATGGCCGTAGATGGCCGTCTATGATCGTCTATGGTATAGGATGTCAGCTAAGATGTGGATGTGGTAAGGTGTGGTAAGATGTGGCAAGATATGGTGAGATAGTACGAGATAGTAAGAAAAGATCAAAAGGAGGAAGATGCGATTGAAACCTGCGATTTGAAATGATTTGAAACGGTGAACGCATTGTTCTGGTACTCGTAGCCGTACAATTCGGTGAGAAATTCGTTTGAACAAAAAGATCGGGCCAGTCTGGTTGCTTGGCATTTTGCCAAATTGGACTTGTCTTTGCGCCTCGGGAAGTATGGGCTTGCAAGACTTACAAGTCCCAATTCTACAATTGGGCCCATCGCACTAAGTCAACACGTTGGAAGCCAGGCGTGTTTTCTGAAAATGGCAACGGGATACAGTTGGGACATTTGCCCAAAAGCACATGAGCTTGGGTGGTGACCTGTCTCAAACTGATGGAATGGAGATGCTCCCAGGATGTCCGACCAGCAAGAACTCCACTTCCAGGCTCGCAACCTGGGCCAACCTTGCAATGTTTGCTGCAATGTTTGCTTCACAGCAAATCACTTCGCAAATCTTGGAATTTCATCATCACTATGGATATTCATACCATTTCATACCTATCCACATCACTACAACACCTAATCCGATTCCTCCGCGAGATGGTCGCATGGAATGCGAGTTCTGCGGCCGGAAGTTCAATCCTGCAAGCTATGAGCGACATCAGCCCATCTGTCAGAAGGCGAGTACCGGAACGGTGCCAGAAGGGTTGGCCAATGGTTACCTGGTTACCCTCTGGTAAACTAACATAACTATGGAAAATCACCATTTTTAATGGGAAAATCCACTATAAATGGTCATTTTCCATAGCTATGTTAAATTACCAGAGGGTACCCCATCTGCAAAAAATGTGGTGTTGACTGAATGACAGTTTTTGTCCACATATTCAGCTGTTCAATGCCAGAATCAGATAGAATCAGGTCTTTCAGATTCCTGGCAAGAAGTCATACGATGTAAGATGTTGAAGGGTTATATGTTGAAGACTTGTTCTACCTGGCCGTCCTGAAAACAGCGGTCATTTGCTGTTCCGCACCTTGCCCCGAGATGCCAAATCATGTCACCACTATGGGGTCACAGGATTGAAGCAATTTGCAGCTAATGTGGGACCCACCCAATGCCATAAACAACTTCCATTTGGGGATGCTTTATGCTATTTATACATATTTATACATATTTTATACATATTTATACCACCCATTCGTGATCAGAACTATTGAGGATGGTCCACAGGACTGAAGCCAAACCTGGCAGAGTCAGCCATTTGGTCTCACAGGTTTTCGGAGGAACTCGACCGCAGTTCCTTTCGTCACACGTCTCAAAGGCCGGGGATGAGGTTGCGGTGGAAACATTCATCTGGAAGAATTATAGTGACCTTATTTCAGATTAGTGAATCATGATCACCCAGATTCATGCGGGAGTTAAAACCTATGATAGCATAGTTTGGGGAAATGAACATCCATAGATTTTTCTAATAGATCATCATAGATCTAAGCATTCTAAGCGCTCTTTGGAGGTGAACAAAAAACACGAAAAACACAGGGTCCCAGGCACTGACCGCCCAGGGCAGCGACAGAGCACGCGCGGCCAATCGAGGGGGCGGCCCTGTCGGACAGGGCTCAAACGGTTACTTGGCTGAAGACCAATTGATATTGATATTATCCATCAATATCCATCATTATTATCCATTAGTTATTAACTATCCATGATATTATCATTATCAGCTTTCAATCACCGAGGACACAGTCCGCGGTCTCCCAAAGCTCCTACGCAAAGGTTGTGTGCTGAGATTGTTCTGTGAGATCACTTTCAGCTCACTTTCAGCAATCACATTTGAGGTCTTCCAATCTTTCCGTTTCAGAGAGCCCTATGAAAGAAGAAGATCTTGGCTGTTGTTGGTTTGATTTTTGGCAAAAAGCACATCAAAAACCATGATGCTGTTGGATGATGTTTGGAGGTTGTTCATTCAATGATCGAAAAATGCGACAACAATCAGACTTCAAACACAACAAAACAGGAATTTCATATGGTTTCATATCAAACCCATTGAAGCCCCATGTTTATCAATTTTTTGGTGTTCCATGCTTTTCCTTGGTGAGGTCGCAACCTGGCCATAGCAGTCCCAGAGGCTCAGCTGGCGAAAATCCAGGTCATGGAAAAGTGCCTCAGATGCACAGAGATGCACAGAGGGTTGTATTTTTTGATTGTTGGGTTTTTGTTGTTTTGCCATTCACATCCATTCAAACTTTTTTGATATGGTTTTATATGGTTTTATTATGGCTTATTTTTGCTGTTTAACTGTTGGGGTTTAATTGTTGGTATTGTTGGGTTTAGCCTTCTTGTCTCGTCGTTTTTCATGTTCGTTCCTTTCTTGCTGCCCCCGTGAAATTTCCGTGCCGGCCATTTTTTGCATGTCATGTTGTATTATTTCTTCTTTTGCTTTCGGTTTGTTTTTTTTATTTCCCCAGTGCATTTTCCCACACACATTTTATTCGTTCCTCTCGGCCATCCATGTGAAGATGGGGGATCCATGCGGTTGAACAGATCCGACATATGCCAAACCAGCCATGCCATTTGCCCTGTGTCTAGTGCCAGCTGCATAATATATGTACAAACCAAAAAATGAATATTATGTGGTTGGCAAGAGTTTTTATAATATATATATATATACATAGATGTGCACATGATGCACTAAAGACAGAAATATATATATATATATGCATTCTACACACATATCTTACTGCAAGCAAATGGATGAGTATGTGAAAACAATCGTCATCAAAATCGATCTGATGAATGATTCAATGCCGTTTAAAATGTAAAATAGTCCAGCTGGGGAGCTATCCGAACGGCTGAAACCATTCTAAGTGCGACCAAAACACTTTTTCATAGTCTATGTGTTGGAAAGTCAAAATATTCTAGTTTAATCCTAATCTACTAGTAGTCTCATCACATCTCATCTCATCTCATCTCTCAATCTATTTGCTGGTATCTTTACTTGACTTGTCTATCATCATCCGAACCTATCAAGGCATCAATCTATCAATCAATCAATTTCTCTCTATGTCCTGTCCGTCTTTGTCCATCTGGAAATTTCTTTGGTCATCATCTCATCGCACTTTCTGTTGCTCCGGGAAGACCTTATCAATCTTAACATGTGGGGGTTCCGATCCTTCACTTGAACGACAAATATGAAGATATGGTGAATAGATACAGCCATGCAAAAAAAAACTGAGGATATACTGTATATGGAATTATATTATGATATTTGGATATTTGGACGAAACAACAGGGATACATGGCTCATGATGACCATGATGTCTGTTTGGTCCCACCTCGGCCCGCTTCTGAGAACGCCGTGGCGAAGCCTCAAAGGACGAAGAGTGTGAGTACCCCCCATCGCTGGATGGTTTATTTATAATGGACAATCCCAAAGAAAAATTAGGATGATAACTGGGGTTACCCGCATGGATTTAGGAAACCTCTATATTGGGGGCATTGTCATGAAATGTCATGAATCCATGTGTTCATCTTGTCACCCATTAACTATAAGGAACCCCCTGACTCAGATCCTTTCAAATCACTATGTTCATTGCATGTCGTATTTCCATGCTCCACGCTGCAGTTTTTGTCGTCCGTTTCGCTACGTTCCGAAATAGGACACCAACTGGACCAGAACCGCAGGTGTCTCAGAAATTCACAAATTTGACAAAGCGCAAGTGTCCTGAGACGATGGAATGGTCAAGTCGGAACCGGGGAAAAGACTGAAAGTCTGAGAAAGTCCAAGAAAGTCAACTGTAAATCATGTTCCAGATTTTCCAGAATTTCTTAGACCTTCTATATACCCTAAATACACTGGAGTCAGCACCAACAAGTTTTCATGGTGTGCTACGTCTCCCAGGTGCCACGGATCTGATGTGCCCAGGGCTAGACAGGAGCTGCAGACTTGCTTCACCACAGCAGTGTCAATAATAGTCCATATATGTCCATATCATTTCAGAGATGTGGGTTTGATTGAAAATAGGGTCTCCCCAAATTCATTGGTTTATCATGGTTATCATGGTTTATGATTGTCCTTGTTAAAATATGGCGATTTGGGGGAACACGGCCAGGATTCACAGGAGCTTGAGCAGCGGGTCATGCGAGTCATGAGTGACCAAATGGAGGACCAGATGTCAAAACCCCCCGGGGGTCCCACCAGAAATCGGGTTTTAAGGGGGATACAATTATATATAATTGGACAATTAATTGGATATGTAACATATGTATACATATGTCACCAACGCCCCAATCCCCAATGACACCCCATGATGTGTCTGGAAATTGAGCATCCCCCCTGAAATACCAATATTGAAGGGGAAAATGGTAACAAATCAGCCAGATTTGGGGCATCGATTGTCATCGATTTTGATGGCCAGAGTGCCATGGTTTGGTCGCCGCTTGATCTGCTCCGAGATTCCCTAGGCGTGTCCATACTTCAAAGATCTAACTAGCAGAAGATCCAGAAGCACCATGAAGCGAAGCAAAAATGGAACCCCAAATCAGTGGCCCCAGATATTTGGATGATTTACTACATACTCGCAAATGACGGCAGACGTGGACCCAAAACAATATTTGGGCCTGGACTTGGATCAAAAAGTTGGGACAGCAGCAGCCATTCCTGGGTCCAGAGGCATGGCCCATCCCAGGAGCTCAGGAATCTGAGGCAGCAGGTTCGCGAGGATGGGAGCAGCGCAGGGATCTATTGGGACGACATTGACGACATGCCAGAAGATTCTGGTATAAGACCAACGACTACATGGGGAAATCATGCAGAAATGATATGAAATCATGAGGATATCACCAGCAATATGATCAATGTGTGCATATTAATATATATATATATATATTTATAGAGAGATTATATATATATTATATATATATACATCAATTTGCAATATTGACTTAGGACTGACTTTAGTCCCTTTCTAATTCCCCGAAGCTCACGATGCCGAATCAGGAGCCTGAATCCCACGGCAAGGTGGGACGAAAGGAGCTGCCCCCCTGACCCATCCAATGAATCCATTGCTGGCCTGGTCTGAAGCAAGCTGAATTTGGGTTTCAACTTGGTGCTTGTTGACTCTTGGGGAACGAGACTCCGCCGCAGGTTGAGAAGGATTCAGCTGCAGTCAGCAAAGCTGGAGATTCAACAGGTGAGTTGCATTGTCTTGTTTTCACATTCCTGAGAGAACGCGACTTCAAGCGATCTTTAAAGTGTTGGCAACTGTTGGTTGCTGCACCTGACAGTGACTTTTAACATACCCCGTCTGCAGGGGCATGCGCCCCGAAGCCGCAGGCGAGAGTTTCTGGCGGGAAATTTTGCTTGGAAGCTGTTTGTTGAGTTTGCTCTGTTTCGGCGTAAGATGTTGCATTCAAGATAAATTTAAAGTCAGTGACCCAATGAGGTTCGGATAGGTTCGGCATGGGCTCGAAACGAAAATTCGGTGAATGCATTGGAAGACATTGGACAAGCAGAATTATCCGGCCTGCGGGAGGAGCGAGCCAGACGAGCGCCAAAAAGTCCGACGAATCCAGAGGTCGGGGCTGTGACTGTGCAATGGCGGCAGTTGACCACTGTTGTTTGATATAGTATGTTGATGGTGGATGATGCTGATGCATTAAGGGGGGGTGATACAAAGCAAACGAATGGGATCTACTGGACTGTAGTCAGCCCAGTAATTGTGGAAATCCTAACCTCGGCGACTGGGTGGTATCACATGGAGTCTTTTGGCAGGAGAGGTTGCTGCCACAGCCAAAGAAAGCTGCTGTTGAGGAGAGTTGGGTTTGAACTGCAGTTGCAGGTAGAGAAATTTCTTGGAGACCTGTGATATGGATATATGGGCATCGAGCCCACCTAGGTACCGAAAATGACCCCATACCCATACGATGATTCTTGGAGGATCTTAGAGGTGCCAATTGCATGAAGCAGGAAGGTTTCTGAGGGCTTGTGACGATTGATCATTGACCCTGCAAAGGACCGGATCCCAAAGAGCCCTGTGCTTAGCGAATCAGCGCCTTGCCGCTCCCTTGTTTCAGCTGCTGAAATGCAGCTGATACCCTGTGAGGACTGATTTCACAGTGAAGTTGTTGACTTGGCGCAGGGTCAAAACTTGGTGATGGTTCAAAACGAATGCAGCAGCAAAAATCGAAGTTGTGGAAGAACATACGTCATGTCCTTCTTACTATATCAATCATTATCAATCTATATCATAGTTATTTATGGACATGTATGGACATTTATATACATTTATGGTCTATATTCATCTATATTATATTTTGGGTAGTTCTTGCCACTTCTCCTTTGGTTTATGGTGCACCTGGCCAGGATTGTGGGCGTCGCTTTAATCCAGCGAGTCTGGAGAAGCACCGAGCTGCCGGATGACTCAAACAGCGGATGTGGTGGGCTGGAGATTTCGCCAAAAATAGAGGAGTTCATCATGAATAAACATCTGTGAGCGATCTTGAACCTTATCCATAATATCCATAATATATCATAATATATTGAATCATATTGAATCAATTGATTTGATGTTAACCAAAAGATGAAGTCTACAATCAAATATGTACCATTGAACCAAGACCAATAAAACATGCTGGGATCTAATGGGGACATTTTATTGGCGCCGTTTGTCACCGCATGACCGAGCATGGCGCAGGTCTGTCGGAACGTCTTTGGCAAGACTCGCTCGACCTTCGAGTCACAGAACCAGCGGCTGCGTGGGGTCAAGTCGCAGGAGCCGCACCAGCCGAGCGTTGATAGTGCAACCAGAAATATGGGAAGACATGGGATTTGGGAGGATGTTGGGGTATCAATGGGTATCAAGTGATGAATATGATATGATGTGATTATAATGGATCATAGTGGGAGATAATTGATATATATATATATTGAATTATATTGAGATAATGGACAATCACGCATAATCCCAATTATAATATACTATGGGATGTTGATTGCCCCAACATCGTCGATTCGTCGATCATCTTCGGCTCCAAACAGAACACTCAGGAGGCTTCCGAAAACAGCGAAGTCCGCAGCTGAAGCCGACCCAAATGACCTGTCTGACTGCTTGGACTGCTTGGTTCACCAAGGCTTCACGAAGAAGACATCGAGCTGTGCTGGAGGTTGGATATGGTTGGTTCAACAATGGTGCATGTTGATACATGTGAATGATTATACATGCAGGATGATAAGGTACTGCAATTGATAGATTCATTGTGGATTATGGTGTGTACAGTATGCGTCAATGTACAGTGTATATGCACTGATAAATACGTGTAAGTGTATGTGTGGATACTAATATTATTATACATATATGGACACATCCCAGTTTTGAGTCATCCACATCGCAAAACTGTCGCCAGACCAAAGTAGAAGTCCACCAGCCAGCTGTGGCGGCAACAGTGACTTCCAGGGCTGCAGAGGTCTTCAAGTCAGCATGAAATATTTTATTTGGAATATTTTGGAATCCCAAACCATCACCATGTTTGTTGCAGAGGATGTTGTTTCTCTTCAAATCATCGTCTTTTTTTTGCAGATGATGTTTTTCCGTGCAACATAATTTTGTTTGCATGAGGATGTTTTTTTGCAGATTCTGTTTGTCCTTTCAAATCATCATCGTTGTTTTTGCTGATTTTTTGCATTCAAACCATCATCGTGTTTTTTCCCCAAACAGTTTACTGTCGGGGTTCTCAGTTCTTTCTTAAGAGGTGTCCGCCCTTGTGTTACTGGCCGTGTCCGCCTCTCTGGGTCTGTGGCTTTATTTGTCTCCCTTCATTTGTCTCCCTTCATGTGTCTCCCGGTGTCCGCCTCGCCGGTCTTGTCTGTGCCTTGTCTCCCTTCAGTTGTCTCCCTTCATGTGTCTCCCTGAGTGGTGGTGTCCGCCTCTCCGGTCTTGTCTGTGCCTTGTCTCCCTTCATTTGTCTCCCTTCATGTGTCTCCCTGAGTGGTGGTGTCCGCCTCGCCGGTCTTGTCTGTGCCTTGTCTCCCTTCATGTGTCTCCCTTCATGTGTCTTGCTGAGTGGTGGTGTCCGCCTCGCCGGTCTTGTCTGTGCCTTGTCTCCCTTCATGTGTCTCCCTGAGTGGTGGTGTCCGCCTCGCCAGTCTTGTCTGTGCCTTGTCTCCCTTCATGTGTCTCCCTGAGCGGTGGTGTCCGCCTCGCCGGTCTTGTCTGTGCCTTGTCTCCCTTCAGTTGTCTCCCTTCATGTGTCTCCCTGAGTGGTGGTGTCCGCCTCTCCGGTCTTTTCTGTGCCTTGTCTCCCTTCATTTGTCTCCCTTCATGTGTCTCCCTGAGTGGTGGTGTCCGCCTCGCCGGTCTTGTCTGTGCCTTGTCTCCCTCCCTTCATGTGTCTCCCTGAGCGGTGGTGTCCGCCTCGCCGGTCTTGTCTGTGCCTTGTCTCCCTTCATTTGTCTCCCTTCATGTGTCTCCCTGAGTGGTGGTGTCCGCCTCTCTGGTCTTGTTTGTGCCTTGTCTACCTTCATTTGTCTCCCTTCATGTGTCTCCCTGAGTGGTGGTGTCCGCCTCTCCGGTCTTGTCTGTGCCTTGTCTCCCTTTATGTGTCTCCCTGAGTGGTGGTGTCCGCCTCGCCGGTCTTGTCTGTGCCTTGTCTCCCTTGATGTGTCTCCCTGAGTGGTGGTGTCCGCCTCGCCGGTCTTGTCTGTGCCTTGTCTCCCTTCATTTGTCTCCCTTCATGTGTCTCCCTGAGTGGTGGTGTCTGCCTCTCCGGTCTTGTCTGTGCCTTGCCTCCCTTTCATTTGTCTCCCGTCATGTGTCTCCCTGAGTGGTGGTGTCCGCCTCTCCGGTCTTGTCTGTGCCTTGTCTCCCTTCATTTGTCTCCCTTCATGTGTCTCCCTGAGTGGTGGTGTCCGCCTCTCCAGTCTTGTCTGTGCCTTGTCTCCCTTCATTTGTCTCCCTTCATGTGTCTCCATGAGTGGGGTGTCCGCCTTGCCAGTCTTGTCTGTGCCTTGACTCCCTTGATTTGTGTCCCTTTATGTATCTCTCTGAGTGCTCGGTGGTGTCCGCCTCGCCGGTCTTGTCTGTGGCTTGTCTCCCTTCATTTGTCTCCCTGAGTGGTGGTGTCCGCTCCCTGAGTGGTGGTGTCCGCCTCTCCGGTCTTGTCTGTGCCTTGTCTCCCTTCATTTGTCTCCCTTCATGTGTCTCCCTGAGTGGTGGTGTCCGCCTCTCCGGTCTTGTCTGTGCCTTGTCTCCCTTCATTTGTCTCCCATCATGTGTCTCCCAGCGTGGTGGTGTCCGCCTCGCCGGTCTTGTCTGTGCCTTGTCTCCCTTCATTTTTCTCCCTTCATGTGTCTCCCTGAGTGGTGGTGTCCGCCTCGCCGGGCTTGTCTGTGCCTTGTCTCCCTTCATTTGTCTCCCTGCATGTGTCTCCCTGAGTGGTGGTGTCCGCCTCGCCGGTCTTGTCTGTGCCTTGTCTCCCTTTATTTGTCTCCCTTCATGTGTCTCCCTGAGTGGTGGTGTCCGCCTCTCCGGTCTTGTCTGTGCCTTGTCTCCCTTCATTTGTCTCCCTTCATTTGTCTCCCTTTATGTGTCTCCCTGAGTGGTGGTGTCCGCCACTCCGGTCTTGTCTGTGCCTTGTCTCCCTTCATTTGTCTCCCTTCATGTGTCTCCCTGAGTGGTGGTGTCCGCCTCTCCGGTCTTGTCTGTGCCTTGTCTCCCTTCATTTGTCTCCCTTCATGTGTCTCCCTGAGTTGTGGTGTCCGCCTTTCCGGTCTTGTCTGTGCCTTGTCTCCCTTCATGTGTCTCCCTGAGTGGTGGTGTCCGCCTCGACGGTCTTGTCTCTGCCTTGTCTCCCTTCATTCCCCAAGCAGTGAACTGTTAGGGGTTCTTAATGCTTTCTTAAGGTGTCCGCCTTGGTGTTGGATGGTGTGTCCGCCTTCCCGAGGGTCTTGTCTCCCCTTGTCTCCCCTTGTCTCCCCTTGTCTCCCCTTGTCTCCCTTCTTGTTTCCCTTTGTCGCATGGTGTGTCCGCCTTCCCGATGGTTTTGTCTCCCCTTGTCTCCCCTTGTTCCCTCGTACACCTTCTTGTTTCCGTTTGTTGGATGGTGTGTCCGCCTTCTTGGGGGTCTTGTCTCCCCTTGTCTCCCTTTCCCTTCTTGTTTCCCTTTGTTGGATGGTGTGTCCGCCTTCCCAAGGGTCTTGTCTCCCCATTGTCTCCCTTCTTGCTTCCCTTTGTTGGATGGTGTGTCCGCCTTCCCAAGGGTCTTGCCTCCCCTTGTGGCCTCTTGTCTCCCCTTGTGTCCCTTTGTCTCCCCTTGTGTCACCTATCTCCCCGTTGGATGGTGTGCCCGCCTTCCCCAGAGTCTTGTCTCCCCTTGTCTCCCTTCTTGTTTCCCTTCTTGTTTCCCTTCTTGTTTCCCTTCTTGTTTCCCTTCTTGTTTCCGTTTGTTGGATGGTGTCAGCTTGCTGGGGCTCTTGTCTCCCCTTTTCTCCCCTTGACTCCCCTTTTAACTCTTCTTGTTTCCCTTTGTTGGATGGTGTGTCCGCCTTCCCGAGGGGACAAGTTGACTCCCCTTGTCTCGCCTTGTCTCACTTCTTGGTCGCCAAGCGGTGTACTGTTGGGGGCTCTTAATGCTTTCTTAAGGTGGCCGCCTTGGTGTTGAATGGTGTGCCCGCCTTCCCAAGGGTCTTGTCTCCCCTTGTCTCCCCATTGTCTCCCTTCCTGCTTCCCTTTGTTGGATGGTGCATCCGCCTTCCCGAGGGTCTTGTCTCCCCTTGTTTCCCTTTGTTAGCTGGGGTGCGTCCGCCTTCCCGAGGGTCTTGTCTCCCCTTGTGTCCTCTTGTCTCCCCTTGTGTCCCTTTGTCTCCCCTTGTGTCACCTATCTCCCCGTTGGATGGTGTGCCCGCCGTCCCCAGAGTCTTGTCTCCCCTTGTCTCCCTTCTTGTTTCCCTTCTGGTTTCCCTCCTTTTTTCCCTTTGTTGGATGGTGTCTGCTTCCTGAGAGTCTTGTCTCCTCTTTTCTCCCTTTGACTCCCCTTTTACCGCTTCTTGTTTCCCTTTGTTGGCTGGTGTGTCCGCCTTCCCGAGGGGACAAGTTGACTCCCCTTGTCTCGCCTTGTCTCCCTTCTTGGTCGCCAAGCGGTGTACTGTTAGGGCTGTTAGGGGTTCTTTATGCTTTCTTACGATGGCCGCCTTGGTGTTGAATGGTGTGCCCGCCTTCCCCAAGGTCTTGTCTCCACTTGTCTCCCATTGTACCCCTTCTTTCTTGTTTCCCTTTGTCTCCCATTGCCCATTGTACCTGGATGGTGCGTCTGCCTTTCGGAGGGTCTTGTCTCCCTGTGCCTCCCATTGTACCCCTTCTTGACTCCCCTTGTTGGAAGGTGTGTTCGCCTTGCCGACGGTCTTGTCTCCCCTTGTCTCCCATTGTACCCCTTCTTGTTTCCCTTTGTTGGACGCCTTCCCGAGGGTGTTTCCCATTGTACCCCTGGTTGGTTCCCTGTGGGGATGGTGTGTCCGCCTTTCTGACGGTCTTGTCTCCCATTGTGCCCCTTCTTGTTTCCCTTTGTTGGATGGTGCGTCCGCCTTCCTGAGGGTCTTTCCTTTTGCCGAGGGTCTTGTCTCCTTCTGTCTCCGCCTGTACCCCTTCTTGTTTCCCTTCGTTGGCTGGTGTGTCCGCCTTCCCAAGCATCTTGCCCCCCTTCTCTCCACATTATCTCCTTTCTTGTCCTCCAAACAGTGTACTGCTCTAGGGGTTCTTAACGCATTCTTAAGGTGTTCGCCTTGGTCTTGTCTCCCTTTGTCTCCTACCCAATGTCTCCCTTCGTGTTTCCTTTTTGTTGGTTGGCGTGTCCGCCGTCCCGGTACCTTGTCTCCACTTTTCCCCCGTTGTCTCGTCCCCACATGTGTGCCTGTGTTGGATGATGTGTTTGCATTCTCGATGTCTTGTCTCTCCCTTGTCTCCCAATGTTTCCCATTGTCTTCCCGCATGTGTGTCTGTGTTGGATGGTGCGTCCGCCTTCCTGACGTCTTGTCTCTCATTGTCTCCCCACATGTGTGCCTGTGTTGGATGGCGTGTCCGCCTTCCCAAGGTCTCGTCTCCCCTTCTCACCCCTTCTGTCCCATTGAGCGCATTGTCTCGCATTGTCTCCCCACACGTTTGCCTGTGTTGGATGGTGGGTCTGCCTTCCCAACGTGTTGTCTTCCCTTTTTGTCTCCGATTGTCTCTCCACATGTGTGCCTGTGATGGTATGTCTGCCTTCTCTGGCCTCTCGGTTGTCTGCCATTGTCTCCCACTGTCTCCCCACAATATGCGTTTGTGTTGGATGGTGTGTCCGCCTTCGCAAGGTCTTGTCTCCCCTTGTCGTCTTCCATCGTTCCCTTGCTTCAATGGTGTGCCCGCCTTTTCAAGGTCTTGTCTCCCCTGGTCCCCCATTGCTCCACATTCTCTCCCATTGTCTCCCCGCATGTGTGCACCTGTGTTGGATGGTGTGTCCGCCTTCCCGAAGTCTTGTCTCCCCTTGTCTCCCTTCTTGTCTATCCTTGTCTCCGGTTGTCTCCACGTGTTTCCCATTGTCTCCCGTTGCCTCCAATTGTTTCCCATTGTCTCCCCACATGTGCCTGCGTTGGATGGTCCACCTTCCCGAAGTCTTGGTTTTCATTGCCTCCCATGGTCTCCCTAGATACGTGTGACCTGTGTTGCATGGTGCGTCCACTTTCCCGAGGTCTTGTCTCCCCCTTGTCTCCCATTGTCTCCCTTCTTGTTTCTCTGTGTTGGATGGTGTGTCCACCTTCCCGATGTTTTGTCTCCTTTGTCTCCTTTGTCTCCCAGCTTGTCTTCCTTCTTGTCTCCCAGTTTGTCTCCCAACTTGTCTTTCTTCTTGTTTCCCTTTGTGGTGGGTGGTCTGATTTTTTCAAACAGCGTACTGTTGGGGTAGGCTTTCTTTCGGTGTCCGCCTTGGTGTTGGATGGTGTGTCCGCCTTCCCGAGGTCTTGTCTCCTATATTGTCTCCCAGTTTGTCTCTCTTTTTGTTTCCCTGTAGCGGGTGGTCTCATTTTGCATTTTTTCCCAAACAGTGTACGGTTAGGGGTTCTTAATGCTTTCTCATGTCATGTGTTTGACCCTGTTCCTCAACACGTCTTGAATCCACCCACTGTTTGGGGTCTACGGTGGTGTAATTGCAGAGGATGTGTTTTCCTTTCAGACCATCACCATTTTTGGGGGTGGGAAGTGGTGTTGTGTGTTCTCTAAAGGACAGTTACCCCTCCGGTAAACTAACACAGCTATTGAAAATTGTCATTTATAGTTGATTTTCCTAATAAAAATGCTGATTTTCCATAGCAAACTGTTGGTTTTCCAGAGGGTAAGCAACTTGGCGAACGGCTTCATGGCCGCGTTGGGGGTCGGGCAGGCTGAGACGCCTGCAGAACGTAAAGCAGGCAGTGAATGCTGAGTTGACGAAAGTGCGGACATTTGGTGACCAGAACCACTGGATTCGCAACTAAAAATGGGTCAGACTTGGGAGATTTAGGAATTTGATGGAATTCCAAATCTTGGAACATGTCCAAGCCAATTTGAAACATGACGCAAGGAGAACCGCCCAGAATCTTTGCAGTATGGGGATCAATCATGGCAGGTACCAGTCCGAGACGTGCTACACGTGAGTGTCTAGCTGAGTGATTTCTGGCCTTTGCAACCAGATGAACAGAAACCGAACCGCGCACTGATGGTTTTTAGATGTTTTACTTTATTTATGTTGGTGGCAGCTAAGATTCCATTTTTACAAATGTGGTAAACCCAATAAACCATCCCCAAGTCATCACCAATTTTGGGGGATTTATAAACCATCCCCAAATGGCATGTTTATGGCAGCCAGGGTTTCCCACATTCCCACTTTCAGTAGCGAACTGTGGTGGCTGGTTCGATGGTTCCTCCAGGTCTGAGTTGCAACCTTGCCAACACTGTCAAAGATCCTTTCGGCCAGCCGCACTTGACAAGCACATGAAGGTGCCATGGGCCACTTTGGCACCCTCAAACAGCTTCTATGAAACGTAACTTGGCTGTGTCCAAAAATTGCAGAATGCCAAAGTCTTAACACCCAGTTGCCCAACATTGCCCATCTTGCCCACAAGCTCTTCCAGCTGCTGGCTGCTGCTGGCTAGGTGTGTCAGAGTGTGTTCCCTTCCCATGATGCCAAGCGCAATTTCCAAAACAGTTTGGAGCCTTGGTTTTTTCACACGATGAATTTCAGATCTGGGGCAGCAAGCTGGTGGAAACATGTGGAGAAAAGGAGTCGCGACATGTTTGATACTCCAAACCACCAGATTCGATCGCTATTGGCTGCCTTTGAAGCCAGTGTTGGGGCCTCCTTCAGATCCATTGCAGGTGTGGCCACCCCAAGTGTTCCCTCAGGTCGTGATCATCGAAACGCAAAAGGACATACTTCAGAGGTGCCCTTTGTTCAGGATGCTAAAGGGCAACAGGTTGACAGAAGTAGCTCCAAGTTGCATTTTATCAAAATAAAAGGGGATGCCATATATATATATATAGGTAAAATGATGGCCGATGGATTATTAAGGTATATTTGTTGCTTTGGACCAAGAGACGTCGAATTTTGATCCAACTCAACCATCCAAATTGAATGCATTGGACGTGATTTCTGCACAGGTCGAAAGCAAAGTGATCAAAGCAACCAATTCCACCCCACCGCGAGTGCGACCCAAAGTGGCCGAGCAAGCAAAGGAGAAGGTCGGTTGGATGCACTTGGGATGGAACTGGTGCTTGCTTCACTGATATTTTGCTTCACTATGTCTGCCCCCCAAAAAAACAGATTTAATAGAGTGAAAAGAGACATCTAAGATACCATATGAGACTTGACCAATCGTGACCATATTTTCCAATGGAGCCACTGTTTTGGAGCAGCCATCAACAGAGAGCTGTCCAACGAGTTGTGTCAAATGTGATGTCAAATGGACAGGTTGAACGAGAGGTGCCGGAAAGCACCCCAATGATCTTCGGTGGAGAACAGGCCGAGCCTGGAAGTCCCATTTGGTCGTTGGCTTTTGAAGCTCCAGAGGCGGGGGTAACTGCGCTGGAACTGACAAATAGGTAGATACAGTCATGGTAGATGTGTCATCCTTCAAAATTAGGCAAGTTATGGCAAGTTTAATGATAATGATGAAACATGATGAAACTATAGGAAAATTGATGTTCTGCATGTGTGAAGATACATGACATGAGGTTCCCAAAATTCTTCAACAAATCCCACAGCTGAAGATACAGTTGGAGACCTTAGTCGTAGCGATTTCATGTTTTTAAGTCAGTTAGGTGCAGGAAAGCATATCTAGGGGGTCGTAGCGATTCTTGTTGTGCCTTGCGGTTTAGCTATGTTTTAAACCTCTATTTTATGGGTCAAATCAGGTTATTCCCTTGCGTTGGAAACATATTTCCCAGCCGGGTGAATGTGCTTTGGAGGCTGTTCCTGGTTTGCAGAGGTAGTGGCTCCAGCGTTTCTGCAGCAGTCCCATTACCATTGTTGGGACACATCAATATTTATATATATAACTCTATATATATATATTCAAATTGTAATAATATGTAACACCTAAAACACAGCTGATAGCACAATGAGACATGAGCTGTATGTGAGGCAGCTGGAGAACCCGCCCGCGGCCTGGACGTTTGGGAGCAAGAGGTCGAAGAAGCCATCCAGGCGATGTCTGAACCCATACAGGACGGCGAAAAAGGATGAAAAAAGGGAGGGGATCTTCAGATCATTTGGGGTAAAAACATCTGAAAATGAGGGGAAAATCATGGAAAAACCATAGAATCGGTGGTATATATCATGATTTTCCCGCTCAAAATGGCAACAAGAGGGTGAATCCACATTTTCGACATACCCAAAAACACTGTTTGTTAGAGATGTCTCATATATATATATAATTATATATATATAGATTACACTATATGATATTTCCCCGGTATAATCCCATAATCCCATCCTCTAATATTCATTAAATACCCATGCGAAACCCTGGTTTACCATTGGATCTGTTCATTCCCCTGGAGGCGGTTTACCATTTTTGGGGGAAGAGATGATTCGTGAAAACCCACCATTTTCTCATGTTTGGATGAGTTTACCATTTTTTACCCTCCTGAAATCATAGATATCATCTGGTTATGACTAACATAGCCATGGTTAAAATCACCATTTTTAATAGGTGAACCATCTATTTCTAAATGGGCCATCTATACCATGGCTATGTTAGTCATAACCAGATGGTAACAGCTGCAGCCTGCAGGACGTCTCCCCTTTGACCATGTGGACACCTGGATGTCCAGCCTCCGCATCCTCCAGCTGCCTTCAGGCGAAATATCCAGCGGTTGGTGCCATGTTATAACTATTTTAACCACAAAATATGGTGAATAGGATAGATCTACTATTCACAAAATGGTGCTATGTTAACATGTTTCAACCACAAAATATGGTGAATAGAGTTCGTCGTTGGGAATAGGATAGATCTGTTGCATATCTATTTTTCATCGGCATGTAAACGTGGCAACAGCTCTGTTTACCCTGTAGTCATTCATTGCAGTTTGCGAAGTGGAAAATCACCACGGACATAAAATAGGCGAAATACGTACGCCTACACAATCTATAACTGGACCTTTTTCCATAGCTATGTTAAATTGCTGGATGATGATGGTAAATCAGCAATATCTTATATCTTGCCTGAAATGAACAGCTACGGGATTTGAATCCCAGGTTTTGGATATCTCACATGGACCAAGGACAGCTTGAAGATGAATAGTTTTTCTGGATCCTGAAATATCCTGAAATCACCAGCCAGGGTGTTTTGGGATCTATCTTTTTCTGAAGCTGAACATAACTTCAGATGGTTTAAGTCCCAACATTTGGGCGCAGGTTTTGGATGTTTTTGGTCAATCGAGGTCACCCCAAATGCTCACCAGAGAGTGGGGCCGGAGTCTGGTGTTTTTCCATATGGTTTGTTTGGAACTGGGATCTATCCCCCAAATGGCCAATTTCATGGAAGAAAAATGCAAGTTCCATCAAATTTTGGGGGGGTCCTCTAGATTTTCAGACATAGCCATGTATGGTTTGCTTCTTTTTGGGTTGGCAGGCATTGGTGTCCCTTGGTGAGCCAGATTCCATTTGCAGGAAAGAGCCACGTTGCTTGAGCGAGCTCGTTTGGGCATGAAAATGGGTCAGCGCCCACAGCCAGAATCCCAGCAATCCCAGCAAATGTTTGTCTCTCGATATGTTCCAATTACATCCAATTACTAGTCACAGAATTACTAGTCACAGATTGGAGATGGAAGATGTTTTTTTGCATGATTAAACATGATTAAACATGATTCAACAGTTGTAACATGTTGTAACCTTCCAGTTCATGATGCTCACGTACTCCATGCCCAGCCTCAAGGCAAGCCTTGTTCGGCTCCACATCGGAAGTGGTGCTCACGGCCGACAGGCGGAGCTGGGGATTGGTGCAGGATCTCTTAGAAAGATGGCAGTTTCGAGATGGAACTGCACCTTGGAACATGTGGGATGACCTGGCAACATTTGGCAACTTCAAATTTCATCTCTAAAGATGCCGGGAGTAATCAATCTTTACAAGATGAAAATTCGATGCTGGGAGTACTCAACCTATCTAAACCATTCTATACCTATCTTACCAGTCTCATCCTATCTCATCCTATCTCATCCTATCTCTATATTTCACCTCTGGCTTCTTTAAATCCTTCCTGCTGGTGAGGTATCGTGCCTTGCTGCCATCTTCCACGCTGGAGTCGAGTGCAACTCCGGCAGATCGAATGTCTCAGACAGTCCAAGCAGCACCCCGTTTCTTTCAGGCGATGTTGGTCACTCGTCAACTTGACTGTCTCCAAGTATTTCCATTTAAAAAAATGCTGACATATGTTGATATAATCCAAGCTTTGATATATGTTGATATATGTTGATATATGTTGATATTAGGTGGATATGGATAGTTCTCTGAAGCATAGACCAGGCCGATCATGTTGCAGCGTGTTGTGCTGCAACCCTGATTCAGGCTGGAGTCTCAACTCATGAGGCCAGGCTTCGTCGTCCAATGGGGGTATTTTGCCTCAAAATCCAGGTATATCCAGGTGGTTTATCCATGTTGATCCATGGGAAAATCCATGTTTGTCATCAGTGTTCCATGATTTTCCCATGGCTCAAAACCGATAAGCTTCCACAAGTGTCCCATAAAAAAATTGTAAAAGGGGGATGCTAGGACATCCCAGCGTTTATTGTTGGTTGTTATGGTTTTTATGTTTTTGTTCAATGTTTCATTTTTACCTTTGATGTTTTTTCCTATGGGGATTTTGGGACTTTTTTGCCCGAACTTTCACTTCATTGTTTGGTTTCAGATGAGGGGGAGATTTGTTGTTACTGTTGTGTTTTTTCGAAAATGGTTTTGTCTTGGAGCTTTCTCTACTCAACACCGGCTATGTAGTCTTCGACTTCTCGCTTCAAATGTAGGGCGGCCCGGATATTCTGAATTTGTGCAACTAGTGTTGAAACGAGCAGCGCAAGAGCAAATCAAAAACAGAAGACATGCAACCGGCTCTGCGCTCAAGTTCGGCAGCAAAGTAGCACTAATTCTGTTTCAAGTTCAGACTGTGCCATGGGGGGTCATCAAGTTCCATTGCAAAGGCAGTCATGCCTTCTTGTGAGAGCCTTACTGCTTTGGATTGCGTGCAACTTTATTTGCTCATCGCAGGGTTTTGCTGGTCTTGACCCGTGGAATCGGGGGTTTGGTACGGGCAAAACCACCGGTCGCTGTCGCCCGTCAAACTGGTGGAACGAAGTACCTGGTGGCACTGATTGCTTGGCTCAGAGGACAAAGGATGCCTTTGAGACCAATATGAAAACGGCAAACATCCCGCTGCTGGAGACATGGGAGAGTTATGAAGCATCCCTGCCAGTGAGAGAAGGCACAGATGGAGTCAGCAAGCTCTACTCACAACCCTATTTGTGTAGAGGTAAAGAGTTAAATGTCGCAGTCAGCCGCTTGGAACATGCGAACAAGCGTAGAGACCGAGTGGCTTACCTTTCAGCTCCAACCATGCGTGGCAAGTCTGCCGCCATCCTGCCGATATTCTGTCGAAGTGTGGAACTGGGGAGCACAAACAGTTTCACCCACTACCTCTACATGTCATTTGCCAATAACGGTCGGAATCGCAACCAGCCTGCATTTTAATTGGAAGTGTGCTTCCTTTTGCTTTCCTTTGTCCACTTTCTGTCGGGATGTTCATGTGTTTCATGTTTGCACGAGGTCACAGCCCAGCGCCGCGTAGCTTGGAGACCGATGAACTGGAGCGGGCTGGTGCTGACTTCATGCTCCACTGCTTCAGGAGGCAGATGAATGGAACTTATTCTCGGAGTTCAACATGGAGTCTCCCTTCACAAATACCAGACCTTGCAGATACAAGGAGGAGATGGAGAAGTTCTTGCAAAGAAACGCCAGCAACCGCCTTCTCCTCCACATCGACGAGCACCGCTCCATGAGCACATCTCCTGAATTCAGGCGAGGAGCACTGCTTTTGGCTGGCTCACTTCCACAGATGTGTCAGGTGATTGCCACCTACCTCGAACCGCCGGATCTAGCCGCACAGGGTTCGTCGCAAGTTTGCCGCTTTCCAATTGCCATGATGCTAGTAGATGTGAACCCCTTGCTGACCAGGGACGCTTCAGATGCTGCACCTGCCACGGCAGCAGGATTGCCGAAAATCAAACTTCCTGCCGAAGGCTGGGGTGGCAAGGAAGAACGATTGCTCGCAACTTTGCGAGTCAAGCTAAGCCTTCTCCTTGTGCACATTGGTCTTGACCAGCTCCACATTCCACAGGATGAGAAGAGCGACCTGCGCAGAACTTTCAGAAACATCCAGGACCAGCTTGACAAAGAGGGAAACCTGGAGAGCAAGCTCATTGGAGCTCTTGGAAGTTTTAGCGTCGCTTTGCCAGATCTAGATGAACAGGTCTCAGGAGCAGTGGACTTTTTGTTGGGCATAAAAGATGCCCGGGCAGAGGACAGAAGGTATCCGGGAGTGATCTCGTTGGACAACCGGAAGCTGACTCTTCCGCTGGACTGGTTGATGGCAGTTAGAGATGCCAGGGATAAAGCCTCGTCAGTCTTTAAGAAAGCCCAAGCAGTATTCCGCTCATCTCTGATGGAATCTGGGAGTTGGTGTGACGGTATGCTTTTAGAGCGAGCTTATTTGTGCGTTCTTGCCTGCAAAGCGGCTAAGGCAGAGGACGGCTTTAGATTTGTGAGCAAACCTCGCATATATGAGTTTCAATGCAAGGAAATACGAGACGGATTGCAACAAGTCGATGGGAAGAACGCAAGAGTCTTCACAAAGAAGGGAGACCCCTGCATTGATGGTATCCGCTGCATAGAGGATGGTGTCATGTATCACGCGCTTTCAGAAGGTGGCACGGCTGGCACGCACAAAGGCTTCGACATTTGGTTCAAGACCGAAGCAGATGAATTAGTCCTGAGCTCAGTTGGAAGGCTGAATGTGTTGCAAACAAACAGTATCCCGTCATTTCAGTCTTTGTTTGCATGTGTTTGTATGTTTTGTAACTTGGCAGGTGCTCTTGGATGTGACTGGAGCTACGAATGCAGAAACCTGCAACAAAAAGGCTTCAAATATTGCTCAGAATGTGAACGCAGTGAAGCACACGGTGCAGAACGCGGAATCGCCGGTAAAATCAGTAATTGGCGTTCTTCTTGCTCCAAATTGCAACAGTCCCATTGTGGATGCACGAGTGGCTCAAGTAGTGGCAGGAGACGCAGCAAGAGACATATTAGGCGGCTTGCAACAATTCCTAACTTGGCTTGGTGATGATGTCGACTAAGCACCTTGAGGACAGGGTTGGAGTGGAGCGCTTCCCACCCCATTTTCCCATGAACTTCAAGAATTTTCCCACTGGGAAACTTCATTTTTCCCAAACTTCAACTTTCCCCGAGTGCCGTGTGGAAACTTGACTTTTCCTTCAGGAGCAGCGGGACGTTCTGACCATCCGTGCCGAATGCTTGATTCTCGTCACTGAATGACTTTCTGACTGGGGCAAAAGAAGCCGTGTGGTGCTCTGAAGTCAATGTTGCATAAGAAGCGTCCTGACAAAGCCGAAGACACTGACGTCATGTTCACCCTTTTTGATTTGCCGGTGTTGCGTTGCCAAATGAACAGGGCATCAACACATTCAGAGACCTTTGTAGGATGGAAAAAGGGTGTTTGGCTTCGCTGTGGACAGTTTTTGAAACGATACATTGAGACAACCAGCACTTGACAAGGATGACAAGCACAACCATACACAACGAGAACTCTTCATTTTATGTTTTTGGTCTCCCATTTTCAAAGCGCAACTCGATATCCCACAAGCCCATTTGAGGTCATGAAGTCATAATCGGCTTTGATTTTCAAAAGGTGTGTTGCGAGAACTCTGAAGGGTAGAAGTGGAGAAGGATTGAGATAGAACTTTTAAGTTTGAAGTGGAGATGGGGGTTTCACACAAAGACCACATGACCACATATACAATGTTATAGCTATTTTACAGTAATTTTACACCACAATACATCTATTTACCTATATCATGATGATATACATGCATCCAGTCGCTTGCATTCACCCTGTTAGAAAACGTGCGGAGGAGCGGAGTGTTGACCTCCTCGGGGATTCAAAAAGGTTATGTGTTATTTGTTTGGAGGAAATTGGATTTTCTCTTGTCTTGGTTTTACATAGATACAAAAGTTAGTTTTTTGGGCGGGGAACGAAGGGGTTGTGATAGAAAGCACACCGTCCATCTTAACATATAAGGTCGCACATGATTATCCAATATGAATAGCATACAAGACGACTGGGATGCTAAAGGCTCAAGTCTGATGAGGACAAAACGACAATTTATGACGACTTGACAACAAAAAACATTTTTCAACAAGTGTCCTGAGACCATCTTGTTTTAATCTCAAATACGCTACATTCAGGACACGTGTTATTTTAAGCCAAAACGACTACCCGAAGCAAAAAGCAAAGACGCTTAAAGAAATGTCGCCTTATATAAAAAATAAATTATGCCCTGCTATATGGTAATTGACGGAAAGAAGCAAGAAATGGACGAAGACGTCTTTGACCAAATGGTTGAAGCACTCCACCAATCCAACAACCCCCACAACCCACCAGCCCAAGCAACCACACGATGGAAACCTGACGGAAGTTATGACAAGAAACCATTAGACCCAGACTATTTTTCAAAATACTATCAGAAGAAACTATCAAAACCCTTCCAATGCCCAGACTGCGGACAGGTAATCAGTAGTAAATCCAATCTTTCAAAACACCGTCAAACCAAGAGATGTATGAGCAAACAAACCCACTGTTGAAATCCGAAACCTTCTCAATAACAACGATTCTGTTTATTGAGAACGTTTTATTCACTATTCATTTTTGTCTGTTTGACACATTTTTTTGACCCTTGATGTATTGGAACATAGTATTGAGACATTACATGCTTACAAAAAGGACATTCAATTTTTTCAAGGTGTTTCTCTAATATTTTTTCTTTATTTTTGTAGTAGTATTCCCGCGCCACCTCCTTTCTCTCTTCTTACGTCCTATGTGGAATGACCTTACTGACACAATTAATGCTTTTGATGTAGTGCCCTTCTCGTCTCAATAGTTCCTCCTTACAATTACAGGGATAGTTTTCAATCAGCTCAATCTTACAATCTTCAATACCAAACTCATCAAATATTTCAAACACTGACAAATGTTTATTTGTTTTTCCTGTTTTGTAAGAACTGTATTTTGCTCTATGCCTCTCAATTCTTTTACTCAAACTTTCGCAAGTGCTCCCTACATTGGCTTTGTTGTATCCAGTGTCAGTTATTTTGTAAATCTTTCCGTTTTCATACCTGTTCATACCTATATTTACCATAAGTTGCCATTTCTTTAAACCATTTTTCTCAAAGTCAATTCTGGTGTTCTCACGTTGGACTTCAACCCAGAACCCAATGACCCAAAAACTGAACGAGAATTCAAAATTGCTTAAAGAAATATTACCTTATATTTTAAGGAGAAAATGGCAGAGGATACAAGGTTGAAACATTCAACCGGTTTCATGATGAAAACCAACAAGACAACCCATCCAATCAACCGCAGCATCCTCAACAAACAATTCACACTGAAAAACTACTTAAAGAAACAGATGATTATAATAATATAGATTATACTATAATGGACACTTCGCAGCAGATTGTTTTAGATTATCTTTTGTCATCCGAAAAGGGTGAGATATTGAAACGGAATGGAGAAGAACTCAAGAAACTCAAGATTGGAGAGAAAACCTACAACTTTGAAAGGGGGAAACCCATTTCAAAGAGGTTGATAACAAAATTCAACAAGATTAGGCAGACTATGGATTACAAAAAGTATGAACTGAAAGAGAAGAGAGGCATTAGATGGGTCAATCTGGACAAGAACAAAGCACTCACAGGCATTCAAATGAGATACAAAGCAACCACCACCAACGAACAATCTGCTTTCAAAGGTTATGTCAATTCGTATGCCATCACTAACATCAGGGTTAGAGGCATAAAGGCACTACAGTATCTCAAATACCAAGATTTGAGGTTAAAAGAGTATTTGAGGAAACACAATGGAATGAAGGTTATGCTACAGGTCTTCGCCACTTTGAAGAGCAAAAAGACTAATGAAGATGTAAGACAAGTCATCAAGAGTAGAAGATACAACATCACCAACGAGGGTGAAATACCCAATGTTCTTAATCAAATGGCAAGTGATGTAGAGCACCAAGCGGAGGTGATGGAAGTGTCGGAGAGTGGATTAGTCATAACCCAGATTGATAAACTGAAGTTCAACTATGACAAATACAATCCAACTCGTGGGGGTAAGTTCATTCCATTACCTAAATGGGTTTCAAACAAAAAAGTCTGTATCAACATCAAAAATCAAGATGAAAAGTGCTTCAAGTATTCCGTTCAATGTGGTATATGTAAGGTTTATGAAAAAGACCACCCCGAAAGGGTGTCTCACTACAAAAGTCTCAATGATGAACTGAACTGGGATAATGTGAATTTTCCGTCATCAGATGTTGATATAGATACATTTGAAGAAAACAACGGAGGGAAAGTAGCAGTGAATGTTTATTTTATTGACCCCGAAGAAGGGAAACAGTCCATCCTACTTTACAGACAGACCAAGGTTCAAAGAGCAACTCATCAAATCAGTCTTCTAAAACTGGAGGATGGGGATGATTACCATTATGTATTCATCAAAGATTATGACAAGTTGATAGGATGTCAAACCAACAAACACAAAGCAAAAATTTATCACAGTTTTCACTGCCGACACGGTTTTCAATCACAAGAACTTTGAGATGAACATAATGAAAAGGGATGTATGGCAGTTGAAGGACAACAGATACAGATGCCTAATGAAGAGGACATTATGGTTTTCAAAAATCACTACAAAAAGTTGAAAGCACCTTTTGTCATCTATGCTGACTTTGAATGTTTAACCACAAGGACGGGGACAGTTTCAACTAAAGAAGTTAAGACTGATAAATACCAACATCACAGACCCTGCGGTTTTATGATAAATGTTGTCAATTCAATTGATGGTTCATCAAAGCCTTTCCTTCACAGAGGGGAGGATTGTATGGATGTTTTTATCCAAAAGATTATTGAAGTCAAAAATGAGATAATGGAAAAAATGAAGGAAAACAAGGAAATCATTATGAGGGCAGATGACTGGAGGGACTTTAAAACCGCAAAGAAATGCTTTATATGTGGTAAAGACTTCAAAGAAGGTGATAAAAAGGTTAGAGACCATTGTCATTTTACAGGTAAGTATAGGGGTTGTGCCCACGATGATTGTAATTTACAGTTTTCAATGAGATATTATAAAATCCCCGTTTCCTTTCATAACCTCAAGAACTATGACAGTCATTTAATCATTGAGAGGGCAAATGAACTATCAGAAAGGGGTAAGATAGATGTAATAGCACAGAATAGTGAGAAGTTCATAACATTCGCACTTAAAAATCTTTGTTTCAAAGACAGTTATTCTTTCTTATCATCTTCGTTGGATAAGTTGGTGAAGTTGAGTAAGTATGAAGACGGAGAGAAGAAACAAAACTGGCAAAACAACTTCAAATTTAGCAAAAGAAACCCTTATGTGAGTAATGATGAGGATTTAGATTTACAAACTGATAAAGGTGTTTATCCTATGATTACTTCACTTCATTTGACAAATTTAGGGAAAAACAACTACCACCAAAAGAAAGTTTTACAGCAATCCTACCGAAAGTCATATTGAAGATGATGAGTATGAAAGGGCACAAAGGATATGGGAACACTTCGGTATAAGAAATCTTGGTCAATACCACGACTTGTATTTGAGAACCGATGTTCTTTTACTCACTGATGTCTTTGAAAATTTTAGAGACCTTTGTTTGGAATACTACGGTTTAGACCCAGCACATTATTTCACCCTTCCTAACTTTGCTTGGGACGCTATGCTTCTAAAAACTGGTGTTGAAATAGACCCTTTAACTGACCAAGAGATGTATGAGATGATTGAGAAGGGTTTGAGAGGTGGTATGTGTCAAGTAAGTCATAAGGAAGCAAAAGCAAATAATAAGTATATGATGGACGACTATGATAAAAACAGACCATCTAATTATATCAATTATTTAGATGCTAATAACCTCTATGGACTGGCAATGTCAATGAAACTGCCCATAGGAAAACTGAAGTGGATAAAGAAGATACTGACAGAAAAGATGATAATGGACTGGAATGAAAACGATGACAATGCCTACATACTGGAAGTTGA